AAACAAACCAAACCCCCATCTGCTTTAGTAAGTCTCTGAGTAGTCTCATAAATTAAGCCAAATGGCATAGATATTTGAAATGCTATTCCACTCATATTCCTCTCTCCACTCCTGCCAAGTACGTCCCACTGGAGATAAAAAATTGTCACTTTAAGCTGAAAAATCCTTCAGTCCTTGATTTAAACGTGCAATTGCTATAACTGAACTAAATGGAACCATATTGTCTCAGATGCAACCAGAAAGATTTTGCTTAAGAAGATTAAATTATCTTCTTCCTTACTTAGTTATCAGTACAAAAAAGAATCACAACAGTCAGCCACAGAACGCCACTTGTTTCTCACACTGGAAGCACTTTGCCCTGTCTCAAAAGCATCAAAACTTCCCTGCACTTCTCTTGCCTTAATCTTGCCCAGTAATTTACTGACTCCCTCAAAGTGAACCTACACACTAATAATCCATTTTGCAGTACAGAAAACAATGCACCCAGTCACAATATTTTCCTGCACAAAGCACACCTGTTAACTTTCCAAGCCTCATTATATATTATCAGTACTGAACACGGTTTTTAAATATAAAGAGATTACTTAACCAGTGAATGCAGGTCTTGCATATGTATTGTATGAAAACCCATTAGTATTGCTAAGAGTTAGTTCTGCAACTGCTTGAAGTGGAGGACTTTGTTGTGGAGGACTTTGTTTTGTAGGACTGGTACAGCAGACTCATCCCAGTGCTTTTTGTGCAGATAACAGAAATATGAGAATGTTGAAGCATCAATTCAACCTGAAAATCAGATAGCTAATGTTCTTGTTTAAAAATAACAGAACAGCTAGAGAGCTGTGGAAAAAAAAAAGAGCAGAGGATGCAAACTCAAAATACACAAAACAATAAAATTCTTTGCATAACGAAGGGTAATCTAATTTTTTCACACAAAGCCAGGTTAAGTTATGGAATCCCTTACCACAAATCACTGTCAATATCAAACATTTACAGAGACTCAGAAATGTCTGCATGTGTTCATGGAAGGAAAGGTTAATTGTATTAGCTTATGTCAATGCATGAAGTCCTTTACCACATTCATTGGTGGCAGGGAGAAAGTTCTGAATGGCAATGGAGTATATGCTAATGATTTCTCCCCATTTCTTCCCCAAAATCTTTTATTGACCATTGCTAGAGACAGGAGACCAAGCTAGACCTACATGGGTTGTGACTCAATAAAACTACTGTCTTGTGGCAACAGAGAAACCAAGTCAGAAGCCAGGACAAGCTTCCATGGTGCTGTTCTAAGAGCCAGCAGGGGCCATGGAGCTGTGAAATGCTCCGAGCAACCATCTGTGGAAATATGGTAAGCACGAACCACAAAATCATGATTTTTTTGCGTTTTTTAGTTTTCTGTCCTCAGTACAGACATGAGGACCCGGAAGAGGGTATATGTGAAGGACAAATAAATTCAAAACTAAGTTTTAAAGAGGTCATGCTCAATCAGTGTCAGAGGGGATAAACACCCTGAGATTAGCTCAGGTGGTCAGAGCATAGTGCTAATAATGCCAAGGCGGCAGATTTAAACCCAGTGCAGCCTATTTGCTTAAGAGCTGGACTTGATGATCCTTGTGGACCCAACTTCCAACACAGACTATTCTGGAATTTTGTGATTCAAATAACATAAAGTAAAAACAAAGTAAAATGAGTAATAAACTGGGAGGAAAGAGTGAAAAGAAGCCCTAGGAGGAGTGGAGGCCATTTAGCCTCTTTGTAACTTCTCCTAGGGCTTCTTTTCACTCTTTCCTCCCAGTTTATTACTCATTTTACTCATTTATATTATTTGCTTGGTTTGGAGAAAAACCAAGCAAATAATATAAACCATAACATTACAAGTAAAAAAACATTTAAAAAATATAATTTTTTGGGAAGTATGTTTATAAACAATCTTGTTGATACAGGAAAAAGCAAATTTTGGTGCACAAAAGGAAACTCTTTAACACAGACACTTTTTTATTACTCTGTTTTAGTTTACTGCTATTACTGTTGGCACAGCTTCCCTCTGAATGCAATTTAATTTGAGAATTCAGGTACTGTTTCATTATCCTTTTCTTAATCTTAGTTGTATTAAACTGCAGAATTAATTCCCCCAACAGTTTATTATCTTGAAGATTTAGAAGTATTTTGGTTGTTCTTTTGCTCACCTTTAAAACTGGATTTTACCATTTTATTCTTTATGCATACCACTATTATGTCCATGTTATTCAAAACTTATGTGTAAGAAAAGCTATAGACTTGGTCACATCATTTTTTGCTCCTCATGTCTGCAGTTTCTTTCAGATGGGCAAAAAGAATGAAATGTAACAGATGATCCCTGACACTTCAATTTCTGCTCAACAGGTTGCTGTCTGATGTCTTCTATTCCTTCAACTATAATAAATTCAGCCTGTAAACAATCTTCTCCTCTTTCAAAGCAAGTCCAGAATAAGGTGCATGAAGTTTACAATAAAGACAGAGCCTTAGGTGAGTAATTCACATGCATTCCACAACCCTGTATTACTGGCTAAAATCTTTTTAAAGTACAGAGTACTTCATTTAAAGTACAGAGTACATCATTTAAAGTACAGAGTCCTGTGAAAAACAGTTTGTAATGCCCAGGGGCATTCCTAGCAGAGATGTAAAAAACTCACTGCACAGGAAGTATACAATGTTATTATTTAAAAACACTGGTGTTTTCAGCAAGGGTAGAATGAGAGAAACACTTACTTTATTTGTTTTCTGCAATTATTTTCCTTTAAATGGTCTTTGGGCTCAGCTTTCACAGTGCAGAACACAGACATCTTTCCAAGTTCTGAAATTCAGGGAAAGAATGAAGTAAAATTTTATTAATACCTTATCTCATCACTTCTCAGAATAAAGAAAGCTACATTAATTTGTTAAAACAGATATAGATGAAACAGCAAGACACTACTGAATTTAAACATGAAATTCCACATCTTTTTCATAGTTCTAGCCAATCTGAGTAAGATTTTATTATGTCATCTCCACAGACAGAAAAACTCATGTTAATTTTAAACAAAATCAGATGTTTAGAAATGCACTGAATATGATCATGAACTTGAAGGAATACATTCCGCCCCACTCCAAAAAAAATCTAAAGATACAGGAAGTACTGGCTTTCCAACATCAGAGGTGATATGGAAAGAAGTTCTATACTTAACATAAATCAATTCTGGTATGCATGTTTTAAAGTAACATAAGCTTCTGAAAATGACTACTTGCAGCAATACCTATGTATATCAACAAAAATACATATACATTGATTTCTAGAGCCATGGGAAAAATTCCATGATGAAGCTAAAATGTTTGTTCTTTCCTCCCTGAAACACCAGAAAAACACTCTGATGATAGATTCACCCAACAATTACAATCATAAAAATATTAAAAATCTGAAGTTTTTTCTTCCCCTAAAGTGCATGTGATATATCTGAACTTTTCATAAGTTCAGACAGATGCAAAACTTTGAATACCTAAAAGAATATAAATATAAATATATTTAATATAAATATAAATATATTAATTTAAACATCACTCCTAAAAGTACTTCCTCTGTCTTGAAGTTTTCTGTTACTTCACTCATTCATATGGCACTGACTTTACACTGACCTTTTCAAGATTCATAAATACCTGGTGAGTTATACATTTATATTCTTATTCTCAAGGATTTAATTTGATTCAAAGCACACCCTCTGTCAAAGCACACAGATTTAATCTGAGGAATTCTGTTTGTTCTCAAGGAGCAGAATCTGTAACATTCCAAGTTAACTGACACTTTTGAAAATTATCATTAGCTTGTTGTCTGTCATTAGCCACTAGATCACCTTGTTCCTACCCTTTTGTAGCAATAACAATCCTTCACAATTCCGTACTGTTAAAATAACTTTTCCAAGGGGAAAAAAAAAAAAAAAAAAACGGCCAATTTAAATACCCACTATGTGCAGTGCATTTTCCAGATGCAGCTCTCTTCCCTGTTGCTCTGGCGTTTTATTACACACGCTTCAAATACCAGCACTGGAACCAGTGAGTGGCTGTTTCGGTGTGATTCTAAAACGAAGATGACTTAACGCAGACAAGAGCTGAGCGCCGGCAGTCCCGGCGGGGCTCCGGCCCGAGCAGCTGTCTGGCACAGGGTCCCGCACCGCCCTGCGTGCGCGGCGCGCCCCGGGCCGCGCTCGGCTCTCCCGCCCCCTTCCCTCACGGCGCCAGCACAGTAACAGCGTGCGCTCTTATGAGAACGGATTTGGGAAAATCACCCCGGATTAATTCCCCTGCTCCCGACAGGCTGCGCTTTGCAGAAACACAAGAATCAATCCGGTCGAAAAAGATCTTAGAGGCTGAGCTAGCGCAAGCTGTGAGCCAGCACCGCCGTGGTCAACCAGTCCATGGCACTGAGTGCCACGTCCAGTCTTTCTTTCCTAGGACACCTCCAGGGACGGTGACTCCAGCACCTCCCTGGGCAGCCCATTCCAGCGCCTAACCACCCCTCCTGCGAAGACACTCCTCCTGATTCCCAGCCTTTCGATCCCTGCCCTGCACCACCCCCACCAGCTCACGAGCAAACACGGGGGGCGCCGGGCTCGGGGCGGAACGGGGAAGTTGCTGTTTAAACAAACACACGTGGAACGCGCAGTCGGGGCGGGCAGCGCTCCCGGGGCGGGCAGCGCTCCCGGGTCGGGCAGCTCCGCGCCGGCAGCCCCGCAGGACTCCGAGACACTGGGGAGAGCCCGCACCGAACCGGCGCACCCCGCCGCGTCCCCCGCTACGCCGGGCTCAGCCGGGCCCGGCCCCGCCGCGCCGACCCCGCCTCAGCCCCCGCCCGCCCAGCGCCTCCCCCGGGGCCGCCCCGCCCCGCCGCGCGCTCCCCTTGCTCCGCGCTCGGGGACGCCCGCCCGCCCGCCGCGCCTGCGCGCCCGCGCCGCCGCGCGCCCCGCCTCCGCCGGGCAGGCGCCGCCCGCGGTCGCCGCGGCAACGGGACGCGGAGCCGGGCGGCGGCGGCGGCCGCGGGTGCCTCACGCCATGTCCCAGATCCTGTGTGAGTGGCTCAACCGGGACGTGAAGCTGTCCCGGCGCATCGGTGAGTGGGGCCCCGCTGCGCGGGGACGGGCAGAGCCTGGCCGTGGGGGCAGTGGGGGTCAGCGGGGTCAGGGTCGGGCCGTCGTGCCAGGGGCGTCCCCGCGGCCGCCCCACTGACGGGCCCGCCCCCTTCCCGCCGCCACGTGCCTCCGCAGGTATAGGTTTAGTCTTCGTGTGAAAGGCGGGGACTGCAGGATCGTAGTGATCCTGTAGATCCGTGAGAAGACCTTCAAGACCACCCAGTCCTACCACGCACCCAGCAGTGCCCCTATAACCCCTGAGCCACCAAACCACATCACCCAGCGCCAGATCCAGACACCTCCTGAACACCGCCAGGGATGGTGACTCCTTCACCTTCCTGGACAATATATTCCAATGCCTGAACATTTTCAAGCTGAAGTTATTTCTCCACAAGGGACAGGTGATCTCAAGAGATGTGCTCAAACTTAAAGTGCTAATAAGGACTCTAGAGAATAAAAATTAGTGTAATGTGTTTGGAAAGCAGGGCATTGTTTTGAATGGCAGCTGTTGCGCTGGCATTGGAAAAGCATTTGTTCTGCAAGAAAGGAACAAAACCCTCAGAAAAGTTAGAGACATAGGCAATCACCAGCTGGATGAAGTTTAATAAGGTGCCACATTCTGCATCAGGGATAGGGCAACCCTGATTGTGTGTATAGACTGGGGAAGGAGGGGCTGGAGAGCAGAGCCATGGAAAGGGACCTGGGGCTCCTGGTCAATGGTGAACTGAACAGGAGCCAGCAGTGCCCTGGCAGCCAGGAGGGCCAGCCCTGTCCTGGGGCATCAGGCACAGCATCACCAGCTGGGCAAGGGAGGGGATTGTCCTGCTCTGCTCTGCACTGGGGCAGCCTCACCTCGAGTGCTGGGGCAGCTTTGGGTGCCACAGAGTAAGAAAGACTTGAAACCATTAGAGAGTGTCCAAAGGAGGGCAATGAGGATGGTGAAGGGTCTGGATAGAAAGCCAAACAAGGAGTGGCCAAGGACACTCGCTTTGTTCAGTCTGGACACCAGGAGACTGAGGGGAGACCTCAGCGCAGCTACAGCTCCCTCATGAGGGGAGGAGGAGGGGCAGGCACTGATCTCTGCTCTGTGGTGGCAGTGACAGGACCTGAGGGGAATGGCCTGAAGTTGTGTCAGGGGAGGTTTAGGTTGAATATTAGAAAAAGGTTCTTCCCCAGAGGGTGGTTGGGCACAGCAACAGCTCCCCAGGGCAGTGCTCACAGCACCAGCCAGACAGAGTTCAGGAAGTGTCTAGAAAATGCTCTCAGGGACGTCATGTTTGACACTTGGCGTTTGCTGTGAAGGGCCAAGAGCTAGATCCAATTCTAATGGGTCCTTTCCATCTCAGTGTATTCTGTGATTCTGTGATTGAAAGAAGGGGAGTACATTCATTAGAGCTAGCTTTTTTTTTTCATCTGCATTTTGTGTGAAAAATCTAGTAATTATAGCTAATAGATATTTTCACAATCTCAGTGGTAATTATGACAATGTTTGCATTTTAACACTGAAAATTGGAAATGACTATGTAAAGCTGATGTTGCAAAACAGCTACACAGAAAGTATATTTATTTGTGATTTGAAAGCTATTACTGTTAGATCAATCTCCTAAAATTTCTTTGAATAATTTACTAAATTTTGGATTTAATTTTGTTATAAACACGATAACAAGTTTTGTTAAAATTAACATTTGGGTTCTTTTAATTATTTTATCTAAAAAACCCCAAACAATCACAAAACCTCCAAACTTAGTTCCAGGATCATTTCCAGAAGAATTTTCTACTGGCTACCTCCTAGGAGAACTTCTGCACAAATATGGTCTTCAGGATGACTTCAAACAATTTTCACAGAACAGGTTAGTACATATGAATAATATTTGCTCTCCTGTATAAAGTAACAAGTCTCTTACACGAAGTAGACAAAATATGTGTTTCTGTAGCTGGGATTTGCTAATGCACTGTAGAATTTATTGGAATTTAAAATATTTTTCAGCAATTCAAAAGCTAAGTCTGTTTGAGGCATGAATTGATTTCATATTTCCAGAGAGATTGATCATACTTCTTCAAGAAAATCATGCATTTTAATTGTAACTACAAAAACACCAGGTCAAACCAGAGGTTCAAAAAGCCTTTCAAGGATGTCTTTAAGATTGAGAAAAGTGGAACTCTGCCCATGATCTGTGAACAGTAAGGAATACAGTGTTGTGTTGTGGTAGTGACCCTAACATTTTCACTAAAATGAAAATGTTGGAGAAACATTATGAAGCTTTGAGCGGAGCTCTGGCTGAAGATCATATAAGAATTTATAAGTTTACAAGTAATCTGCTGTAATGTCTATAATCAAGAAGAACTGTAAAATGGGAAGTTGAAAAATCTTGTGCAGATCTATGAGCTTTTATACATTGATGATGCAATTCGTGAGGTTGGCTTATGCAGTGTTTTGTCAGACCATGGTACACATGTACATCAAGAGTTCTAGGCTGTACAAAATCTTCCTGTTTCTTCTGAACCTCTGCTTTTATGTTCTTTGAACTTCTCATGTAGTCACACTCTTTCTTATCCCAATTCCCACCAGATTGTAGGAGAGCAGGTAATAAAGGCAGCCAACAAAAAGCGGTTTCACACAGCAGTTCTTGAACTCTGTTTCTAGGACTTCTACATTTCTTAGGAATTTCTTGGATCATTAGAAAACCCCAGGTAACTCTTAGAATACCTGCTGTTGCTGGGAGAAATAGCTTCACGAGGCTTTTATTTCTTCTAGGAAGCTCTAGCCTCTTCTCACAAATTTTCTCAATTCTTCTTAGTAAAAGGGTGCTTTGAGCTCTTGTCTCCAGGTGATTAGAGAGGTGCATTTAGTGAGGATGCACTTCAGCAGGTGCAAGAAGCGATTGGAAATTCTGTGGAGATGGTTTATGTGTCCTCAGCAAAGATGGGGATGCATGACAGGGCATGATACTCATAATCCACTGGAACAACTACTCAGAGTGTGAGAGGCCTCAACTCGAATTTCTCTCCAATGAAAGAAGTCAATTCTCCCTGTCTCAAACTTCTGTGAGGAAAAGGAAGGTGTCTGCTCCTCCTGCTGAACCTCAGCTGCACAACAGGTTCATTGCAGTGGTAGCAGGTGAGTACTGGTGGCACTGTGTGACAAAACATCTGAGCAGGTGAAGTTAAACCACCCCAGAGCACCAGGAAGAGCAGGTGGGAATAGCAGAGGGAGACTTTCTCCTGCAGGAGATGAAAGTGCCGTCAGCTGATGTCACATGCCAGCCGGGGAGGTTTGCTGCATGCCAGAGGTTTGACCCAGAGCTGCAGAGACTTGTCCAGCCCTTGCACTAATATCCCTGCTGTTCCTGTCTGTGGACACCAAGGCTACTGCCAGAGACCTGGAGGCAAAAGCATGAGGGCCCAAGTATTTATTTTCCTCATTTCTGCTGGTGCTGGGCTTAATGAGTGGATAGATTACACAGGTTAACAAGTGGTTGTGCACCACAGGGATTTGCTTTTCCTAGTCATAGGATCCTCTTTCGAGAGGGAAGACTGCTAGGAAGAGACAGGATCCACCCATCCAAGTTGGACAAGGAACACATTGCCAACAGCCTGGCAAAATGAGCAAGGATAGCTTTAAACTAGGAGTGAGTATTGATGCAGAGGTTTAGTTTCAAACAAGAGAGGAAATGCTGGCCTAGACTGGCAAGCAAGAGGAAGGTGATGTGAATAAGAGCAGCAAAACAGTCCAGAAGGCTGCTCACCCTAATATATGCATGCAATTAAGGAGACAGGATTATGGGAAAAGCATTCACACCTTTTCTAAATTAAATTTTTTTAAAAATCACACAACTGACTGTTTCTCTGAAGTGCCTATATAGTAATGCATGCAGCATGGGGATCAAACAGAAGAAATTAGAGGCCTGTGAGCAGTTGCTGAGTAATCATTGCAATCACAGAAGGACAGTGGGATAGCTCCCAGGACTGGTGTGCTGCCATGGCTTTATATAGGCCTTAAGGATGGAGAGGCTGGGAGGGTAGGGATGAAGAGAAACTGTCCTCTATGTGAGAGAGCAGGAAGATCCAGGACCTGCCTTAGTTGTTTTCCTGCATCAAAAAGATGGCAGAGTATGGCTTCATTCATCAGCCTCCCTCTCAGATCCTCAAATTAGTATCTGCCATGCTGAGGCTGAGATTTTTTATGCCTTCTCTATCTTAGTCTGCTAAATAAAACTCACACTCAGAAACTTGAAACTAACAGTCTTTGAAGCTAACAGGAAGGTCTTACCTTGCACCAGTTGTTTACAATCTGTGATCTGGAAAACCTCTAAGGATGAAGACTATACTACTTCTCCAGGCAATTTATTTCAATATGAAATTTGTATGCATTTTTTACGTGATTGCCCTCATGGAAAAAAAGGTCTTGTTTTATATCTAGGCAGAAGGGCAGCAAGAAGGGCTTTTACAGGTATGTTCACAGCAAAAGGAAGACTGGGGAGAATGTGGGTCTGCTGGGACATGCAAAAGACTAAGATATCCCAAGGCCCTGAGACATACAGGAAAGTCTGTAGGAAGAGAGATTCAACCATGGAGAAGGAACAGTTTAAGGAACATTTAAGTAAATTGGAAATGTGCAACTCCATGGGATCTGGTGACATATACTCACCCAGGCCGTGTGACCTGGCCAATGTCATTGCTGGGCCACTCTCAGTAATCTTTGAAAGTTTGTGGTGATGGGGGGAGTCCTTAGGACCAGGAGACTGCAACTGCTGCTCTTCTCTTCAAGGAGTGCAAGGAGGGAGAAGTAGAGATGAACAAGCCAGTCAGCCTTACAGAATAAAAAGTTAGGAGCTTCTCAGTGCATGTCAGATGATTTCTGGCAAGAGGGCTCATCTTAACCTTGAATCAATGGTAGAAAAATGCTCAATACTTGTAAGCTTCAGGTCAGTGTGTAAGAAATAAAGCATCGACTGTTACAGTGAGAATAATGAGCTCCTGGACAGTTTAATCTAGAAATAATATGAATACTGTGGTACCAGAAGGTCTTCAGTTAAAATTGGGCATTTCTGTAGAATTATGCTGGATCTTGGCTGACGTCAAAAGCTGGTTGTTCCATGTGAAGGAACTATTGTGAACTCAAGCAATAGAGCAGTACAAAAAGCAGGATCTTCCGACTCAGACTGAAGTTATGGATATGTCTGATGAAATTTGATATGCTTATTGTTATAAACTGACAATTTATTGCTCTTTGGTTTTGCCCTGTGTATCTGTGGATCTTGAGTGAGTGCTTTTTCATGAGAACCCACATATAATAAAAATATTAGCCTGCAAGCCACTATCTTAGTTTCAAATGTAAATTTCACATTTAGAACACAGACTTCGTTTTCAGCAGTGCTTTAACCTTTGTTTTTCTTGGAGAAAAAATATGTTGTAAAGGTTAGTTGATTCTACAGACACTTTTTTTAATGTTTTAACTGGTGAGAGTATGAGGGATTGATACAGCTAATATAAGAAACTCCATTCAAACTCCTTGTGTGTTTTGTGGATGGTATAGCATTAGCTGCAATTGCAGATTAGCTTTTGCTATTAGATATACTTTGTGTGCACACATACTAGAATTTATATAATCCAATGTGATCTTTGTCTTTTCAAAAAGTTATAACTGCATACTAATCAATGCAGTTACCTGTACAGCAGTACAAAACTTAAGCCAAAGTGTGTATCAAATTATTTTTAAAAATCCTCTGTGTGTTGTTTTATTTCTGCTCCTGTCTTGGTATGTGTCATGACCATGCTTAATGCAGCAAGTTGGAATCGAAAATAAGTTTAAGTTCTGGGTTTTTTTGTTGTTGTTTTTAATCATACAGAGGTGCAGATGCAAAAATTAACAATTTTTCTCGCCTGGAACCCACACTTCACCTTCTTGGTGTGCAATTTAATGAGAATATGGCCCAAGACATCATGACAAGACAGCATGGGGCTGCGACAAAGCTTTTATATGAATTGTATATTGCTTTAGAAAAAAAGAGGAAGGCAAAGCTCACTGGAGTAGTTGTGGGAGCAATGAGACCTGCAGCAACTGCAAAGCTTACTGAGGGTAGAAATCAAGAGGTAAGTAACTATGTCTGTTTTCTATAAATACAAAAAGATGGCATATTTACACGTACCTTTCAAGCATGTTATGTGCTTTCCCTCTTTACTTTGTAAATCTCCTATTCAAAACCCAGTACTTAAAAGGAAAAGAAGCAAATGTTCTTTGCTGTGTCTTATACAGTGGGTTTGCACAGCTTATCAGGAGCTCAATAGGATATTGATCTTCTGTGTTCTGTGTTTCTTTGTTTTGGTTCATTCTGTGTTACCTGCTCTGTTTTCAAGCTTTCTACAGAGTTAAAATATTATAATAAAAGATAGTAGTAGTTCAGCAGCTGCCTTTTTACTTGTTTAATGAGTACAGATTGCAGACTGCATTGCAGTCTAGGTATCAACTCAGACTAATTTCCCCTCCAGGAAACCTATTTATAACTGTGTTCAGCTCTGTGCCACAGTGGTTTGATTCATTCTGTTGCATGTCTCTCCATGTATTTGTACTGCACTCCATTCTACAGCAACCATATGCTGAGAAATACAAAGAGAGAAAAATAAAGGGAAAAGAGAATATCTAAGAGGAAGTCAGTGTTGATGTGGTAGGTTCTGTTAAGGACTTCCTTCTTGTTTTTAGCAGTAATATTCAGTATATCCAGACCATTATTTTTTGTCAGGATGAGGAGCTTTTAACAAGGTATATATAATGAATTAAATTCAGCTGGGAGAAATTTCACTTTTTTTTTTTTTCTGGCACTTTTTCTGAAAAATAGCCTTCAAACAGAAGTTTACCAACAAGTGCAAAGATAGTACCGAAAAGTCAACATATCTTTTCACCTGTAGAGGGATAGCTTTAAGGAATTGAGCAACTGAGAGTATGTTCTGTCTTTAGATAAGTTCAGAATTTGAATAAGACATTTGAATGATATAATAGGAAGGTTGAGAAATAGAGAGAGGGATAAAGGTTGGAACGAGCCTCAGTTTATCCCCCCTGCTCCAAGCAAAGCCAGCTATAGCAGGTTCCTCAGGACCTCATTCAGTGCGGTTTTGAATATCTAAAGCTGGAGACTTTCAGTAAAGAAATGCTTTCTTACCTCCCATGGTCAGCATGGGACAAATCCTGAGACTGAAGTGTGGCTCTGGATGGCTGTGGGCTGTTCAGAAAGGACTGGAGAGGAACAAGAGGCTGAGAGTTTGCCCTCTATATCAAGAGGCGGATTGGATGTGAAGAGTTGTCTCTGAGGGATAGACATGAGTGGGCTGAAAGCCTGTGGATAAGAATCAGAGACCAAAGCCAAAAATGGAACCCTGTGGCTGGTGTTTACTGCAGTCTCCCTGACTAAGGCAGGCCTATTTGACAAAGTCTTGCTCCAGCTACAGGAGACAATACTGCTTGCAGACTCTTGTCCTGCTGAGGGTCTTCAACCAACATCTGCTGGGAAAGTAGCACAAGGCAATCCAGGAAGCTCCTGGAATGCAGGATAACTTCTTGAGACAGGTAATAGGCAGCCCTACCAGATGGGATGTGAATTGGATCTGATGGTCACCAATAAAACAAGTTAATTGGGACATCAAGACTGGAGGCAGCCTGGGCTGCAGTGATGGTGTTGGTGCATGGGTTGATGGTGTTTTAGTCCTGAGGTATCAGATAGTAGATCCCTGAACTTCAGGAAAGCAAACTTCCAGCTCTTTAGGGAGATAGATCACCTGAGAGGCTTCCCTCAGGGACAAGGGAGGAGAACAGAGGTGGCAAATCTTTAAGGAATTCTTCCATAGTGAGCAAGAGCTAGCAATCCCCAGGAGCAAGAAATCAGGCAAGGAAGATGAGAGACTGGCATGGCTGCGTTGGGGAACTGCTGGGAAAACAAACACACAGGCACCTGAAGCTGGGGCGGTGAGCTGGTATGAGTACAGAGATGAAGTACCATTGTAGGGATGGAGTGATAAAGGCCAAGGCACAGCTGGGACTGAACTCGGGAAGCAAATAAATGCAAAAAACAAAACCAAAAAATAGCAGGAAGAGCTTCTACTGGTGTGTTAAGCAGAAAGGAAGGTCAATAAACAATGCTGGAAAATTGGTAACAAAAAGAAGAGGAGAAGGCAGAGATACCCAACTTTTTTTGCTTCATTCTTCACTTCTCAGGCCACAACCTCTTGAGTGGAGGGACAGGAGGATGGGAACTGGGGGACAGGTTCATGAAGTGGGCCCATGGAAACATGATGAGATTTACAAGGACCGAATGCTGGTGCTGCACCTGAATAGGAACAGCCCCTGGTAGCAGCACAGGCTGGGCAGGAGCAGCCCCAGAGCAGCCGTGCCCAGAAGGGCTTGGGGTGCTGTGGGTGAGAGGCTGCACATGGCCCAGCCATGGCACTCCCAGCCCAGAGAGCCAAACGTGTCCTGGGCTGCACCCAGAGCCCCGTGGGCAGCAGGGCAGGGAGGGGATTCTGCCCCTCTGCTCTGCTCTGCTGAGACCCACCTGGAGCACTGCATCCAGCCCTGGGCTCCCAGCACAGGAACCACAGGGACCTGCTGGAGCCAGCACAGAGGAGGCCACCAAGATTATTAGAGTGATAGAGCACCTCTGCTATGAGGAAAAGCTGAGGCAATCAGGATTGTTCAGTCTGGAAAAAAGAAGGCTTCAGAGTGACCTAATTGCAGCCTTCCAGTACCTGACATAATTGAAGGGAACCTACAAGAAAGATGCAGAAAGATTTTTTATGGGGGCATGGAATAACAGGAAATGGGGGACTGCCTACTGGAAGAACTGGAAGAACTACTGGAAGAAAGTAGGTGGTGGTAGTAGTAGTAGTAGTATCTAGTAGACTAGATATTAGGAAAACTCTTTACTGTGAGGGTGGTGAGGCACTGGCAGGTTGCCCAGAAAAGTTGTGGACGACCCATCCCTGGAAGCGTTAAAGGCCAGGCTGAATGGGACTCTAAATAACCTGATCTAGTTGAAGCTGTCCCTGCCTAGAGCAGGAGGCTTGGAACTAGGTGATCTTTAAAGTCCCTTCCAACCCAAACCATTCTATGATTCTATTCCACATGTCATCTTACTGGGTACCAGGGACAAGAGTATAGCACCTCCCTCTGCACTTCTCCTCCAGAGGGAGCTGTACAGAGCAATGAGGTGTCCTTTTCTGTCAGCTAAACAAAGTTTGGCATTATTCAAGTTCAAATCTTTAAGTTCTTTTCTTCAGAGCTGGTCCTGATTTTCAATTTGAACATGTTTGTATGTTTTTCTGTGTACATTAACACAGAAAAACACAGTTTGAAACAATGGTCTCAAAATTACCGTATCTTAGTATGTTTACTGCTGTTTTCTGACTCTTCACTGCTGGATGTTTAACATTTGAAAACTGTAATGCCACATCAGAATGAAACAAAATCCAAGATGCTAAAAGATGAGAGCTCGTGTGCATCTTGCAGAGCAGCTGAGAGCTCAGAACCTCCAAGAAGAGCAAAGAGCCCAAGACACTGAAAACATGACTAGTTATTTGTGTAGACTCCTGATGAAGTATTTTCTGAAGGTTATGTGTTTAGTAAATTAATTAAAACCAGTGTGAAGACTTCTGTGCTACATGTTCATGTCTATAGAAGAACAGAGAAAAGGTGTGCAGGGAAATAAAGCCAATGTACTCTTATGAGACCTTAAAAATGTTCCTATTTAAAAATCACTTCATGTTAAGTTGAGAGTATTTGCATATTGTCAAGCATGGAAAATATTTATAGATCTGAAGACAGAGTGTGTACATGTCACAACATTTGAGTTGTCCTTGTAAAGGTTTTGTGTCATTCTTCTTTTGTGAAGAAAAGATGGAGCATTGTACAAAAGCAGAAGAATGTCAGGAGAAGGGCATCTGTAGTGGGTTTGGCCTCAGAACATCTTGTACTTCTGTGTAGCTATTCTGATGATGCAAGAAAGGAAGAAGACATTACTTTAGACATGGTAACACTCATCCAAAGCAGAGTTTATAGTTTATGTAGAGGAAATGGCCAGGTATTGAACCACACCGACGAAGTTATTGACTAATTTGATATATATGTTATGTGGCTAATGAAGGGAGAAAGTTTTGCTGTGTTTATTTAGTTGTTCTATTGCCACTACATGAACAAGAATGGCAAAAAAAGCCTCTTCATGTATCTGGACAAGAAAATGCAAGCAATATACAAAATATTCAAAATAGCATTTTAAAAGAAAATTTTGGAATACCTCTTATGATGTGTTATATATTTTTAACTATCTTTGACTTCTTTGTATAAAAACTGTTTCTTCTTCTTTATTCTACCTTTACCTGCCTGCATGTCTGGTGCACTTTAAATGAGTGTAATTTATATGTTTGTTACTTCTTGATCATCTCTGCTAGTGTTACCTAATGTGTTACCTAGTGTGTTACCTAATGGTATTCTCAGTTTCTGTACCAGAAAACTGGTATTCTCATTTTCTGTGCTGAACCAGATACCTTACTAGAACTAGAATTCAATGAAAGCCCTTAAAACTCTGTAAAGCACTGCTCATCTGCTCAAGTCTGGAGCCTGATAATGTCTTCTAGTTTCTTCCTGGAAGAGAATTTTTGGCTTAATTATATTTGCTTCATATCAGCATTACATAGGAAGGAGACAAAATGAAATAATGGCCAGGATTCAAACAGCTACTATACAGATTCAAAAACAACCATCAAGACCCACCATAAAATCTTCTGAAGCCAAAAAAATCTTAAAGAAGAAAAGGGAAGCAGAGGTAATTATCATCTATACTGTTTTAATGCTAATTAAATTAACTCAAACACCACAATTTCTGGGAACATTTATGGTTACAAATACTGTACTTGCACCATTCAAAAGCTGCTGACTGTCGAAATGATATCAATTCAACCAGTGAAACCTGGGCTGAATATTTACACAATTACGATTTTGTGGGTTTTTTTAAGTAAGAATTGTTTTGATGTAAGAGAAATTGAGAAATGTTTTCATGTAGGAGAAATAGATAGGTAGTAATTTGATTGCCAAGAGTAGCTATGAGTCTACTAGAAAGAATACATTAAATGAAAACATCAATGTTCCATTTTGATTTGCATGATAACATTTTGCACCATAATGTTTGAACTGTTCTATAACACACTATAAAAATTTCTGCTTATTAAATGCTAGTAACAGCTGAAATTGACAATAACCTTAAATAAAACCAAGAGAGATGCAGCAATTAAAAAAATTCTGCGTTATCTAGTAATTAAAAAAAATTATTCATGGATTGTAATTCAAGTTCATGGATTGTATTGTCATTAGACGTGCAACTATTATTACTTTTTACAACTGGGCAACAGTAGCAGGTGTCTTTAAATCTGAAGTTTGGTAACCTATAGTAAGACAGTTACTTGAATAACTATTAGGGTTACATTCAAGTTACTAAATGAGATTGTATTCCAGAGTATTTTATTTCAAATCCCCATATGGTGAGCATTACATACTCTGCTAGAGCCCTATGCAAAATCAGAATTATCCTGCAGAAAGAACAGCTGCAAAATTCTAGATTTTCTGGCTGGTAGAAGCAGGTGTAGCTAGAAAATGGGAAGAGGGGAAGGAAGTGAAAGGTGAAAGGTGGAAATCATCTTGCCTTTATTCTTGGTGTAGTTGATGCTTAAAATATTTTCAGTGTAAGCATTTGTGTTGTACTAACATGACGTAAAAGTGATTCCCTAGTACTTGTTCTGTTGAACCTGCTTTGTAAAGAGAAAGGAAACATAAAATTCTGTGTTACTTCTTCAGAACGTATACAAGGAGATAGAAAAGTTTGAGAAGTCTGTGACAGGAAATGTCTCTGCAGTACATGGCCATGTGACCAACAGGTAACATTTGGATACCAAATTTTTTAAGAATAGGCAGGATCTGCCGGGTGTCTGCTATGTGGACAGCTACTTAAAGAATAATGTTTCTTTTAGTTCAAACTATGATTATCCTTTGAGTGAATGCCACACTAGCCCTGATTTCAGGTTCAACACAGTTACAGTGTCTTGAAGTTACCTTTAGTTAGTAGGGAGAGCTCAAGCTTCCTTCACAACGTTTTGTCATGTGTGCAGCAAGGAAAGGCTTAAAAGTCATTTCTCTGTTCATTTCAGTCATTGGGTCTGTAAGGTCAGTACCCTTGCAGCAAGATAGGAATGGTTGTGAATTTGCATACACAGTAACACGTTCCAAAGGGAAAAGAAGTAACTTTTATCCTGAAACTTATCTGTATGTTGATTTATTTGTTCATTAATTGCCAGTAATTTTCATTCTGCCACCCCTGGTAATATGCATGCCCTACTCAGAAGATGTAACACTTTTGCATACTGCTGTGGATATTTCCGTGTGTAAACTTGTGATTAATAGCTGCAAAACTACTCAGAGTGTATGGCCATATTGAGGCGTAACCCAAATTTCTTTGGCATTCTGTGAGCCATCCTAATTTCCTGTTTCTGTGGAATTTGGCTTTCCATTGACAAAGAAATTAATGATTAGTTGGCCCAAGTCAATGCTGAAAACATCCTCTGGACTTAGTGGACATTGTCAGGAAGTAGCCACAGAGCCCACAGAGAGATGTTCTACATTTGTTAGACTTGCACATAACTATAAAGGCACCTGTGTGAAAAGACCCATAAGAATGCTAATTCCAATCTTTCTTTTCTTCAATCAGTGATATGCAAGAATTATTGCAAACACAGAAGTTTCCGGAAGCAAATCTAGAAACTATACCAGCGACAAGAACTGAGCTGTTAAATATTTATTCAGATGATGAATATTTAAGGAAAATTCAAAAACGTGTACAGGAAGATACATTCGCTAGAGAGCAACGAGCAAAGAGACGACGAAAAATGCTAGTGGATCAGTTAGCAATACATGAGATTCAAGAGGTGGGAAATTGTATAAATACAATTGCTAAAATACATAGTCCATGTGCATTCAATTAGTAATCTAAAATGTGCTTACAAATATGAAACCAGTACTTCTGGATGGCTAAATAAAATTTGAAGGGGATAAAGGGACTTATACACCCTTATGTCTAAATATCTCTTTTATGTTAATCTCAGAAAAATATGAAAGGTTGGCTGTTCTTCATCACCACCCTTACAGCATACATCATACTTATAAACTTAAAAGAATGAAATTAGGGCAGCAGAAAAAAGATTATTAAAAATCTACTGCAGGCCTGCCTTCTATTCCCTGCCTCCCTCCCCCAAAAGTTGGACAGCCTCTGCTATCAAATTGTATACTGGTTCTAAAGAAGACTCTTATTTAAAAACAACAAAATATAGCATTCCTTGTTTGAAAACCTGTATTTACAAACGTGTCGTAGGAAGGTTTTGATCTGGACTCATGAATTCTGAAATGGTTGTGCTGGGAGATATAAAGAATCAAAATTTTATTTGCAGGTCAGAGATTTGGTGTTTCATGTGTTATGAAATACAAGATGTGTCTCTGGAGAATGTCTGTGTTGTGTCTAAAAATGAATGTTGCAGATCATTGCATTTAAATCCTGTCCCATAAAGCACAAGGCTTTTATGGTTTTTCACACATTACTCCTTTAAAAAGCAGCTTTTAGATTACTAATTTCACAGATTGTCTCTTTTATAATTATTCTATCAAAACACAGCCTTGTAACTTATTGGGTTTTTTTTATTTCCTGTTATTTTTTATTTTAGTATTTCCCTGTAAGTTCCTTATATGTGTTGAACATATATAGCTGAGCCTATCTCTATTGCTAATACTAATAATACTAGTAATAATAATACCTCATAATAGCAGCATTTCAGATGTGCAGTATCTCTGAAAATATAAATTATTGCACACATATATATATTTTTAGAGCCTTGACACCTAATGTCTGGAAATTTTTTGGAAATGTTAAGAAAAAGTTTGTTGGGGTAAACATCTAAAAGCTAGGTGCTGCTCAATATCTATCGCAGTCATATTCTTGAAAAACACCAGTAGTGACTTGGAAAGGTCCATCTCTGCATAAATTCTGTCTCTGAGTTCTTATTCAAAGAGATTTATATCACGTTCTTGTTGATACGCATAGGCCATGAACAAGTTTTGTAACCCCCCTGTCTGAAATCACCGCAGTCCCAAAACTGGCTCTTTAGGCACTCTCAGCTCTTGCAGCCCCTGCAGTGTGGACCAGTGATTCTAACAGCCATGGCTACTGGCCTCCAGAGCACTTGGTGGATACAGCAGCTCAGACTGCCTCCAGAGAGGCTCCAAATCAAGTGAAAACTAGCAATAGTGTTCCTTGCTTCCCAGGAAGAAAAATCAGCTTTGCTATACGAACAATTGAAATCGCAGACTGCAGGAACTAGAAGGAGAGACAAATTAGCGTTTGACTGAAACAGTAATCTGACCATATCAGAGAATATATTTAGTGGTAATTTGGTCCTAAATTAACAGAGGAAAAACTGTGTTGTTGGAACTTTGTGAGATTTCAGGCATTAGAGGTTACTTAAAAGAAGTGGGAAGCAAACAGAAGTATTTTCTTTTAAAAATGAATGAATATATAAAATAGTTCAAGATTGCTTTTTCCATCTATTAAGTATTGAACCAGAAAGGGTTTATTGACTGAAATTGCAGCTGTTTATGTGCATTCAGGTCTGAGTTTTAGCTCCATTGCATAAGTCTTGAACATGGCATGGGATCATTTAGAGTGGAAGGAATTTCATCCCTTCGGAGTGCTGTAATGTGTTTTCATATTTATAAAAGTTTATTAAAATAATCTTGTTCAATTTTTTGGTTTTTTGGTACGCTGCAAGGTGGAGCTTTGGAGAGAAAATACTTTACAATTACATTGCAGTACTCTAGGTGGAGCACAGCATGACAGCATGATGCCAGTCAGATTTTCATAGCCAGGTGTTGAAAGTATTTGACAGTTGTGTCTTCATGCCAACTGAACCTTTATCTCCACCATTTCAACAAATTATGGGTGATTTGTACATGCTATTTTTAATGCTCTGTTCAGATTTTATGTCTCTGATTAAAAAAAATTATCAGACATAATTTACTATCAGCAGTAAATTGAGAATATGAAAATGGGAGGAGAAACAAATTGTTACTACCTTATTACCTGTCAATCCTATAGATTTGTGTGTGCTAAGCTCCAAGTTTTGGTCACAAAAAGGTCATTTATGACTGCACAACAGCACAGAAATGTCTCACCTTTATGTAAATCAAACAAAGAAATAGAAAAATAGAAGAACATGATATAATAACTATGTATGAGCTACACAAAACGTAAACACGTTAATGTTTGGCCACTGGATGCCACTGTTGTCTTAAGTAGGTAAACTGAAAAAAGCATCTATTATGCTTTCTTAGTAGTAATTTTTCAAAGTATTACTAAGTTGTCCTATTTGTGATATTTATGATTTCTTTCAGCACTTCACAGTTCTCTGTGGAGATGTTGATAGAAAATGTTAGGTCACAAACTTTTTCTACAATTTTTATTTTCTGCCCTTGTATGTTCAGAAGTTTCAAAACTTTCCAGCCTTTGGCTTGAGTACTTTCTGCATTCCTTTTTGTGTGAAAGATAGCTACTAATGCTGCACTCCTCCATCCAATGAGGATCCTTTTGGAAAGTACGAGTTTGGAGTTCTGAATCCTTATTTGTCTGTTGTGAAGTTTTGAGTTAATTGCCTTTCTCTTTTTCTTGTTCCTGAAGAATTTCCTACTGGCTCTCTTTAGGCCTAGTGAGTATGACAAAGTATTTGATCACTTAAAATACTGAAGTTCTCTTCAGTTTTCTCACTGAAAATCTGTTTTGTCTGCTGTGAAGTGTTCTAAAGGAGCATCTTCCAATTTCCTTTATGAAGAGGAAATTCACCTAGAGAAGGTGTTTTAATTTCTCAGTGGACCAATTTGCACCATTCAGTTGATGATTTGAGCATGACAAGTTAAGGTTTGAGCACTCTGTTGGGGGGTGGCTCCTTCAATTCCCTGCCAATAAGGAATTCAATATCAGTTTTCTACTAGTGAAGGCTTATTACTGCTGTAATAATTTGTGATTGAGGGTAAGGAGCAACTAATGAAAAAAATTAAGGATATTTACTTGCAATAGGAAGTAAATTGTGTAACCTCTGCTCTTCTTTGAAATCTTAATTGAAATACTAAGTACCATGAAACAGTGGATAGAATTGAGGCAGAAAAGGGCACTGTACCTCCTGTTATTGCCTTGAGCTCATGAAGGTAAGAGAAAATGGACAGATTAACTCTTCAGTAGGCAGCAGTATTGGAAAATTTCATCACCTGTGCTCTATTAAGTGACACAGGGAGTGAAGTTGCTATGACTGCATTGTTTTCCATTGGATGTATGATGATAATTCCCTCCATAGACAAACAATTTACAAATAGTATGCTACAGATAAAGAACAAAAAAAGACATATTTGAAATGACGACTTTATTTAGTGAAAAGTTTTGTAGAGATAATATAGCATCCAGGTGAAGGACTCTATGATTAAGGCCTGAGATGAGTGCCCATTTTTAATGGGGACTGTCTTGAAACTCAGTACTAGGAAAGCATAGGGCAAAGCGCACATTTTGTTTAAAATAAGGAAAATATTAAGATATTTTTATAGTAGCTTAATATTTTCAAGACATCAGAATTTAATTAGAAGGTACTTATTTCTAGGGAAAGGAACATAAAAACTATGGAAAGAGATTTACATGCTTGTTTGTTTGTTTAGCTTCTCCCCACCATCAGCATTAAATATCTAAATTATTTAGAAAGTTCTTCTCTTATTATTGCAACTGTTGCACTCATGCTTTGCATTAGAATTCTGTTACAGGTATCCTGGGTCCATTCTGTAGGACAGATATAGATCTCTTCATAGAATTTTTTCATAGATAATGTCATAAACAATCAAGTTGGATTTTTCATTTATAGGTGAAGTTACATAAGGTGTTTTGCCCTCTCTGTCACAGACAGCTGATGAAAAAAAACCAGATTGAAAGAAAATAATTGATTTTGATACTTTATTTTGGTGTATTTTTTTTTAATTATTACTGACTGACTTTACTTGTACCACTGTTTTTAGGAGAATGAATTTGAGATCTTCAAATCAGATCCCAGTTTAAGTCCTTAAATTTGAGTAGATTACATAGCAGTTTTGATGCATAGGAAGCAAATATTCAGCATATCAGAAATTTCCCCTAGAATTCTGCTGTAGCATTGGTATTTGGCATTAATGCTTATAAGGCAAGCTGATGTTTTTGTTCAGGACTCAAATTGAGTTTTAGACTGTGATAGTAAGGCAAAACTTGATGTTAGATTAAGCATTAGTTTAGATACCAAGAAGAGTCTGGAGAAGTGTAACAGTGAAAAGGTACTATTATGTTTCAAGAATGCTTTAAAAAATAGCAACTCACAGCCTTCAAAATGTCTGTGCATACAGACCACATCTCAAGCAATAGCTCAGAATGATTTTCCTTTTGTACTGCATAGTATATTATTTTCATGTCCCATTAAGGACACTGGAACTATTACCCAGAAGTCTTGTATTTTGCTCAGTTTTGAAAAAATTTTTCCTCATTGTCCCAGCCAGCTGAATAGGGAAGAATAGAGAATATAATTACCCAATTCCCCCAAAAGAAGAAAAAATTTCAAATCTGTAGAAAATAGATTGTTCAAGGATGCTGAAGATTATGGCTGAGAGTAGGACTGGTGAGTAACAGGGTTAAATTAATGATTTGAAGAAAGGGTATATATTCAGATAAGAAGCTGTTATTTGAAATATGCTGCAGTTTCTTTGCTCATGAGAAATAACTACATTAAAATAGAGTTAGTCTGACCAGATGTATTTTTACTGGGTATCTCAGTTAAGACATATTTTGAATTCTTACATAGTTTGTGCAAATTGTACCAATAAATAGATATTAATGTTGTTCTGAATTTATGTCCCATGTAAGCAGGTGAATGCCATTATATGACAGCATTTCTATTTCTCATATTAGACACTGATGAGTTTTCTAGGAAATAGTTTATCAGCTGTGCTTAGTACTATTATTTTTTTATCTTTTAGAAGGTTTACCGGGAGGAGCAGCTCATTTACAGGCTAATGAAACAATCTCAGCATGAGCGAAGGATTGCTGCTCAACTCATGCACGTTCGGCATGAAAAAGAGGTGATAAGGCAAAACAGAATTTTCAGGGAAAAGCAATATGAAGAAAGACGGCAGAAGGAGTTCCAGGAAGCCCTTGACAGAGAAGCGGTAAAAGATTGATCTGTGAATTGCTGCAGGAGTGCTAGAGTACCTTCCTGTTACAAAATGGAATTTGTGTTGCTAACTGTTAGACTTCAGGACTTTTCTAGGGACATGATGATTTAGTGATAAATACATTCTTTTGTCCTTGTTTGAAGTCACAGCTATAAGCAATAAGGATGTAACTGTAACTGTGGAACTGAGTGCATTTTGTACTGTGTTAGAAGTCTGGGGGAATTTTGCAGTGAGAAAGAACAGCTAATCTACCCGATCCAGTGAAAGCTGGGCCTGCCCACGGCAGCAAGTTTGAACTAGGTGTCCTCTAAAGGTCCCTTCCTACCCAAACCATTCTATTGTTCCATGGTCCTGTAATAAGGGATAAAGCTGAGTAACTGAAAATCTGATTTTTCTTCCATATTGATTGTAATGCCTTCATAGGAAGACTTCTCTGTGTGCTGAGTTTTAAAAGGCACAGTCTCACAGAGGCAACAGGACAATAACCTAAGTTCCCATTTCAGGAATCATGTTCTTAATTTCATTTAGATATGATCTGTTAAAGTTTGTTTTTGAAAAATGCTGGAGTAGTTTCACTCATGAGCACTAATTTCTGCTTTGAAGCTTTAAGTTGATTAAAATGACTTATAATTCTGTGGAAAACTGCCAAGTGCTATGCTCATGGTAGGCCATAATGTAATACTAGAATTTTTTTTCTCCTGTCAAAACCGATCAGCAAATACAAATCCTCCAACACAGGTGGAATACTATGTAATCAGCAGCTATAGCTTTTGATCACATCATCTCTTTAAGTATGCTTTCAGCCACCACCACAGGGGGTGGTGATGGAGCACGCCACTACAGGAACTACTGATAATTTTCTACCATGACCAGAAATCTTTCAAAGATTGAACAACATCAATAATATGAAATTATTTGAAGATCAGACTCTAGTAAGATAAATTGCATGTTCTAAACTGGTTGTTACACTGAAAGCTGCAATTTCACTGCCCTCAAGGACTGAATATGTCTTAATCTGTTATTCATAAAAGAAGTAATGGGCTTCTCCTTTATTTTATTCTATTTTAGAAAGCAAACAAATGGGAATTTACAGAGTGAATAAAAATGCTTAGATTTGTTTATGTGTTAGTCTGCCTGCTGGCTATGCAACTCTGGTGAGAATCAAGCTGTTCTTGTTTCTTAAGTTAGTTTTCATTTTCGGGACTGTGTACCTCTGCACTTTCATTTTCATTGCAGTCTCAAATTTTTTCCTTAAAAACAATTCTAGGCTCTTGCAAAGCAAGTAACTATTGATAATGAAGAAAAAATAACCAGAGAAAGAAAATACCATGAGAAAATTGCTGCTGAAAGAGCTCAGGCACGCTATAAAAAGCATTATTCTATGTGTTGGGAAATGATAGACCAAGTCATTGATATATCGACAAAAGTAGGAGAATATCGTCAACTGACAAACAAGTGAGTATGTAGCTGCTTGGCAAAACTAACAGCTGTTAGGCTGCATTAATCAGACTTGTTTAAGCATTATAGCAAATTATGTAGTTCTCAAATATTTTACATGGCAGCTGTAATTAGTTTGAATGTGAGAATGGTAGCATTATTTTTGTGTGTGGATTGACTGGTGCGTAATTCAGAGTGAACTAATGCTACAGCCTTAGCATGATTTCTTGAAAACTCAACTGACTTGAATTCTTAGGAGATCAAAATCCACTAGTGCCACAGTTTGTGGAACTGCTGATTTCCTTTCTTATTAACAAATTCCATAGTTAAAAGTTAAAACTGAATGGTGCTCATCTCATCCTAGTTTGCTTCACTAGGTGAACACTTCTTCAGAATAATACAAACAGGATGAATTTCCCAAGTTATATATGCTGCTTGGAGTGTCCAAAATACATCAACTGAGCCCAGGTTCTCCTGAGTCCTCCATGCTATGATTCCCTCTTCTGACGTGCCCTAATTACACAGGGTTTTTGAGAAGGTCCTACAAAGGCAGTAATCTCCAAGTGCCCATGCTGTAGAAGTGTTTCAAATATTGTGGAGTGGGGAGTTATTGCTGTGGTTCTTTTATTAATACTCAGTGATTTGACTGTGGGTTTAGACTTACAGTATTAGAAAATATGCCAAAATCTTATTGCTTTTTAGTGTAATTTTATGTTAAAATAATAAAAGTGTAACAATATGAAATACACATGATTATTTAATAGAAATTATATAAATTTAGGCTTATTTAGTATATGGTAAAATAGTCAACCTAGGCACATAGCTTAGTGAAATTACTAACTAAAGAAAAAGTTTAATTCATATAATTCTGAATTAATTTTGACTTTGAGGAAAAAAATATCCTATATATTTTTTTGGTAAGGAGGCTTTACAGCACAAAAGAAAGAATATTTTGGGGCAGGGAAAAGTAGCAATAACAAAACTGTTACTACACAGCTCTGCTGGCCAAATATTGTGTGATGACACATTTGTGAAAACACTGAAGCCTACAAGTGTCTACAGCAGTCATAAAAGGAAACAAACACTTATAAGAGGCTGTAATAATTACAGGATGCATTATAAACTATAGCTAGTTTAGCATATGCTTGTTTCATGATTGGAATTCTAGTAAATTTGGGTACACTATTGGATGTTGTCAAATATCCAACCTTCTAATTTTTGTTTAAAACTGTTTTTTTTTTCTTTTCCCTTTTTTCATTTTTATGCAGCCGTGTTCCACTTAAACTGATGCTGGATTGGAAGGAACTTTTTTTTAAAGGAAAACCAATATATGAACAAGCCTCAATTCAACCTTTGTCAGATGAACCTAGCCCAGAACAACTTGTAGAGCTGAATAAAATCAGTCTGTTAGATGAAAAAGATTATGGTGAATACAAGGTACACCAAACTGATAAGGTGTAATGGAAGATAATACACCTTGCTTTTTCAAAATCATAAACTTCATGTTGTGATCTTGCATTTTGTTCTATTACTGGTTTCTGTTGGCAAGTTTAGACAAGCATTTTCTTTTCATTGCCTGATGTTTTGTATGAAAACTGCATTTGGTGTTAGTAGGAGTTATAATTCCGTTCTTATGTATAACCTTGATTATATTTCATGAGTTGTAGGACCAACATGTTAATTGCAATGCAGTGAATTTTCAGCTAATTGAAATTTAAAGGTATAGTTAATATTACCAGATTGGAAAATGCAACGGAATGTAACCAGTAAAAACAGTAAAATGAAATACCAGAAATGTTACAAAACCTGAACTCTTAATTTCAGCAATTTTGAGGGAAAGCTTTCTAGCAAGATGTATTGGTTTGAGTGAACTATTTGTTTTAATACAGTAACATTTTTTGGAAATTATTAGAAATGGCTGACATTTTTCTTAATCTTCTGTTAGAATACAAGTAAATATTTTTCACGGTATATTAACTTCATCAACTTTTCAATACATCAGTGTTATTTCAAAATTGAAAGATTAAGGGTTGATGGTTTCTTGTTAAAATGTGTTGTACAGTTTTTTAAAAATTATATTCATGGTTATATTAATTAAATCCCACTACATATTTAGACTTTTCAAATAGCCTTGTGAGTAGAATGTGACAAAATCATGGCAAATACTCAGTCTTTTTCTTGTTGGGGATTTATAAATACAATATATGTTTAATTTTTTCTACATCCCGAGCCACTTGGTGCATTTTTGTTTGAGTATAGATGTCCATTATGAGTTTCTGTGATGAGTGCCTGAAAGCTCAACATACTGTATTCATTTTTAACACATGCTTTTCTGATTTATCTCTTTATAAGGTCCTAATTCACAGCATACCAATTCATGTATGAATTTTATTATTATTTTCTTTGGTGAAAAAAGGGTTATACACAAAGTCAGCAAGAAGGACATAAAAGATAGGCAGGAAACAAAGAGCACTAATGAAAAATTAAGTTTTTCAGTCATAGTTTTGTTTACATTATGAAGTCTCAGTAATCTTCTATAAGTGTAACATCACTGAATGTCAGAAAAATGTATTGATACATTTAAGGCCTCTTTTTTCCTGCCAGGCTATTTCAAATTATTTCGTATTTAATTTATTCCCAGATGTTGTTAGTCTTATGCCTTTCTGAATCATTATTAATCAAAAACTGGCATCATATGACATGTTAAATTGTTGGCACCAGTTCATTCTTATGTCTTCTAAAAACCGAAGTGAACAGCTAATTCTTTCAAAGTCTTGCTTCTAGATAAAATTTTTTTGGCTGGTCATTCTCACAATGTTTGTAGAGATTTTCCTAATGTTTATGAAAAAAACAGGCAGTTTGGCATCTCTCAAGAATACCTTGCCTACATTAGGCATACCAGCTAAAAGTGTCAAGTGTATTTGATAAAATACAAGAAAATGCAGTGCCATCAGTCCATTGCACATTAAATATTATATTTTATTGTGAGAACAAGTTTTTGAAACTACCGTGTTATAAGTTGTGGCTAATCACTTAATAAATTAACACAATAACCAAAAACCAAGCTTAGCATTAGGTACTGCTGGAATAATTGCTGGTTTTGTTCAAAAGTACTGATCATGAATTACATAACTCCCACGTGAATGCCTGAAAACTTGTTTCTGAAAGGTAAACTATTTTACCTCATGAGAGGTACAGTCCAGCAGCCCTCTGGTTAAAAGGGTCAGATAACTGAAAAGTGGGGAAACCCATTCCACTTGGAATTAATTTTTTCTAGAGGTCTAATAGAATTTAAAGAACTGACCCCTCTCTTCCTATAGGTTTAAGGAAAAATCATTCAGATAGTGCAAGTATTTGGGTTTTGTTAAGGATGTCTTTTCAATTACACATGAAGAAGTATGTTTTCTGAGAGATGATAGAGAGGGGATATGGTGCAACCCAAAAATTTTTATTTGTTTATACTTATTAAAAATAAGTGACTTCTAATATTAATTTAAATTTATTTTAGACTGATAATTGGTTTTTTGTTCTAGTAGACATGTTCAAAGTCAACATTGATCATGTTCTACTAGTAAAATGTATGCTATGGCAACACATGGTCCAGATAGTAAATTCAGGAGAATGTTGCATATTCTACCCAGAACATTAGTTCAAAGCCTTATCTTTGAGTGGAACTTTAGCATTGTTTACTTCTGTTGATGGTGATGAAATATTTAATTTATAGAATGACACAATGGTTTTGATTAAAGGCTTGTGAAGGTCATTTGCTTAAAGCAAGGCCAGCTTCTGAGTCAGGTGAGGTTGCTTAGCATCATTTGGTCAACTTTCAATTATTCCAAGGATAGACATTTCACAGATTCTCTGTGCAATCTTTTATCATGCTTTACTAGTCTCATTGTGAACCAGTTTTTTCTTCCTTTTTACCTGCTTGGAATGTTCCTGGCTGAAATCTTTGACTTTGCCTTCAAAGCTTTGTTGTGCACCCAAAATGAAGAGACAAACTAGAGTCTTATGGGAAATATTATTAGTCTACACATTTCCAAACAGCTGTTTAATATTCTCCAACCAAATGAATATTAATACAGGACTAGTATTATTCTGCATACTAAAATATCTTTTAGATTCTTGCAGCATAAACTCCAGGACAGCTGGACTTTCCTTATGCTATGAGATGTGAAACTGGAGTACAGTTCTATGTTCCATTCTTTGGACTACATTCTTTCATTCTTCCAGTGTGATTTTCAATAAAATTATCTTTACTACTAAAACCTATTAAATCATACAATTGATAAATTTCCATTTATCTCAGGGTGGATGAACTGGAAGTTTCTGCTCGATATTTCCGTCCCTTAATGAAGTTTGAACTTGTTTGAGTTGCTGGCTTTGGTTTGATTTTTTTTTTCTCTCTATTGAATGTGTGTTAGGCAAATACATACATTTGAAATCTTTATTAATGAAATTTTCAGAGGTTTAAAAGTGATACTGGGCAATAATGTTGCCCAATTTTAGAATGCAGAATATTAGGATAGTGAATTTCTAGTACAAAAATCAGCTACTGATTAATTCTATAATATTGGCGAAATTACTTTTCATGTTTATGGAATTAAAGAAGTGATATAGGAATCTGTATTGAATTTGCTCAGCAAAGTTCTGGTACTGGGGAGCTGCTGACGTGGCTTCTCTGAGAGTCTGCTGAAAGTTTCCCCCATGTCCCATGTGTCAACGCCAGCGCCGACTCCAAGGTGGTCTCGTCACTGGCCCAGGCTGAGCCAACCAGGGATAGCAGTGACAACTCCGTGATAAAATATTTAGGAAGAAAAAAAAGGTTTTGTGCAGATGTCAGAGAAGAGAGGAGTGAGAAGGTGTGAGAGGAACAGCTCTGCAGACACTGAGGTCAGTGGTGAATGACCAGGAGGAAGTGCTCCATGCTCTATTGTTGAGATCCTACCCTAACCCATGGAATCTCATGGTGGTGCAGAGATCCACCTGCAGCCCCTGCAGGAGCCACAGCAGAGCAGCTGGGTGTGCCTGAAGGAGGCTGGGACCCCACGGGCAGGAGCTGTGGCCTGTGCAGAGAGCCCCACACTGGAGCAGGTTCCTGGCAGGAACTGTGGCCTGTGCAGGGAGCCCCTCACTGGAGCAGGCTCCTGGCAGGAGCTGTGGCCTGTGCAGAGAGCCCCTCACTGGAGCAGGCCCTGGCAGGAGCTGTGGCCCATGGAGAGAGCCCCTCACTGGAGCAGGTTCCCTGGCAGGACTTGTGACCCCATGGGGATCCCATGTTGGAGCAGCGTGTTCATGGAAGGCTGTACCCCATGAAAGGGACCAAGTTGGAGCCATTTGTGAACTGTAGCCCATAAGGAGGACTCAGGGTGGGTATATTGGTGGAGGACTGTCTCTTGTGAGAAGGACTGCATGCTGGAGCAGATGAAGGTTCCACTCTGAGGAGAAAGCAGCAGCAGAAGCAACATGATGAATTGAACATAACCCCCATTCCCTGTTCTCTTGTTCTGCAGGACAGGAGGAATTACACAAATTGGAATAAAGTTTAGCCTGGAAAGCAGGGAGGGCTGGGAGGACGATGTTTGTAGGATTTGTTTTAGTGCTCACCATCCTGTCTGATTTTGATTCATAGTAATTTCAACCAGTTCCCCCAGGTCGAGTCTATTTTCGAGTCTATTTGCCCATAGTGGTAACTGGTGAGTGATCTCTTCCTGTCCTTAACTCATGAACCTTTTGTTGTATTTTCTCTATGGCATCCATCCAGAGGCAGAATCACAGAATCTATGAAAATGTTTATATAAGTACTTGTCTCTCAACTAGTTATTAGCGAATATTGAAAAATATTTAATCATTATGACATAATTATAGGTTTTAATGAGGTTCTATTCTAAAAACTATGTTGTTATTGAGTACTATTCAAATTTCATTATTTTATGTATTTTTTATGTAAATAAGTACGTATATTTAGAAATATGGAAGGCAAGATTATAGTATAGCAATATTGAGATTTGCTAATTTGTCATTTATACAGAGTATGACAGGGGAATGGAGCCCAGCTGAAGAGAACAGTGAAAACAAACCTCCTCCTAATAATAACATATTGGGTCATATACTTCGTAGACTGATGGAAATGTTCTATCCTCCAAAACCCAAATCTTCACGTGAATTTCCTTCATTTCCTGTCAAGGGATGTGTTTTGGGAAAAATGTTTAGTGGAAAAACTACCTGTGCAAAGTTTATTGAAAAAGGTAGAGGTTGTTTGTTTGTTTGCCTAAAATTCTTTAAAATGTTTGTGTTAAAATCCCACTCTTAAATTAAAATTGTTTGAGAAAATCCTTGCAGTAATAATTCTTGAACCACAGATGCATCTGTATTTTGCTGGGGTTGACTGCATGTCATTCCTTTCTTATATTTCAAAATAAACTTAGGAACACTGGAACTTGAAAGTATTATTAATATTGTACTGTAATGTTAATACTTCTTTGTTGAGAATTGGGAAATGCTTTTGGTGAACTTCTTTGGAGATACCGGTTTTAGAAGAGACTAGCAAGATAACTATGTGATTGTCGATAGATACTGTGAAGTAGTTACAGAGAAGAAAGACTGAAAACAATTTACATTAGAAGCCCAGATTAAATAATTAATTTAACTGATTGTAATAGTTTCTCTGTATGTATACTCAACTCATATTGTAGCTATCTAATATTTTTGTGTATTAGTTTGCAATATTCAGGTACTATCTGTTGGTACTCTGGTTCAGGAGGCCATTGAAGCTTTTCTTAATAATGAAATGAAAAGTGAATCCAGCATAATATCACAGGAAGCAGAGAGTTCTGGAGAGCAAAATGAGGTAAGTATATTCCCTAGTTTTGGTCTTGGCTCTAACAGGTAGATGGGAATGAAATGTGTAAGGAAAAAAGCATGCTTGAATTTTTTTACTCAATTTCTGACTTAATTCTAAGTTTTGACAGGTAAGACTGGAAGATTCAGCTTGAATTTACAGGCTAGTTTTTTCTGTAAAATGTAATTTTCATTCTAATCCATTTCCTGTCATATTTGATACAAGGACCAGGAGAACTTACCAAATTCACCACCAAATCTAGAGGAGCTTGAAACCACAGCCGCACAACTTACCACAGAACTTACCACAGAACCCAGCTCGGAACTTACCATAGAACTTACCACAGAACCCAGCACGGAACTTAGCACAGAACCGACCACAGAACTTACCATAGAACTTACCACAGAACCCACCACAGAACCCACCACAGAACCCACCACAGAACTTGACACAGGTAAGTATTTCTCGTTGCACTGATTTTCCTGTGTGTCTCAGGGTCTTGGGATACCTCAGTCGTTTGCGTGTCCCAGCAGACGTTTTCCCCGGCCCTTCTTTTGTGGAGAGATCTGCAAAAGCCCTTTTTGTTACCTTTCTGCCTAGACACAAGACAAGGCCTTTTCCCCATGAAGAAAGCCAAATACTGAAACAAATTTCCTGGAGAGTCAGCGTAGTCTCCATCTTTGTAGTTTTTCCAGATCACATGGGGTAAACAACTGAGAAACATAGTCAGACTTTATAACTGATGCTACTTTGAGCAGAAGGTTGTATTTGAACCAGGTGACATGGAGAAGTTGCTTCCAACCTAAATTTCTCAATGCTCCTATGATTCTAACAATTTTATGTACCTTCTGTATTGATTTGTTCAAAGAACAATAACAAACCATGTACTTTTATTCTTTATCTGTAATAATTAATTCGATAGTAATAGCATCTTCAAACTTTATTTTAGACAATTGTCCTGTTGAAAAGGATACATCCCAGGAAGAAATCCAGGAAGAATTTGAATTGGATAGCAGTCAGGATGGCCTATCCAAGGTTAGTAGTCAAATTTTAGTTTCTACTTTATAAAAATACATCTGTAGAAATGGTTAAGTTCATAATTCTGAATTACTGACATGACTTCAAGTATTTGAAATATGAAAAGGGCTTTTGTGAAAATCTGTTCCTCTGCATGTTGTTTAGAGTTGTACATCTTATTAAAATTCTATATTTTTTGTGAAATCTCACATTTACATAAGATGTGGTATTTTCTATGGCATTTCTGAGTTAGCAGAAATGTATTTCTGCTTGCTGCAGCCAAGCAGATAATTCCTCCTGTGACAAGGTTTCTTTTCTTTATGTTAAAAATGCTTAATTCTACAGTGATTTCTATGGCCTACTGCTAATTCAAAATTACTTCTGGAGCTATGATAGAAAAGAATACTTGTAATACTAATGAATTTATGTGCTGCTGTATGAAATAATCAGTGGTAATGGTTATCAGAATAAGCTGAGAATCAGAACACTTCATTTTAATTTCTTGGCCTTCATATCCTTAGTTTCTCTATCTTGTTTATTTTCAGCATTTTTTTGAGTATAATCATGGAAATCAGGTTGAGATTTCAATTAAACTAGGCATTTTTGATAATTTAAAAATGGTCTATTCTCCTTAATAGACTCGCCCCAACTGTTAAATAACAGCCCCAATTGATAAATAACAGCCACCAGCCCGAATATAAATAAATAAATAGTATATGATATGAAATGTGGAGTCACATACTTTTCAAAAACTCTTTTTAATGACAGTTATGGACATTCTGAGCATACTTCTGTTGCACTCTTCCACAGCTGTCGGTGCGTGCTAAACTTGGTGCTGAATTACAGAAATGGCTGAAGAACGGAAAAAGTGTTCCCGATGAATTACTAATTGACATCCTATTGGAAGCCATTACGTATGAAATTGTATAGATGCTTGCTTTTATCTACTCTTGTTTGACAGAAAATTGTCTCAACTATCCTGAAATGCAGTTAGCACCTAAGTTCTTACATTAATATCATTTAAGTTGTATTACTCCCATTAGTATACTGTAAATTATAAAATAGATTTTCCTATTTATTACTTGAGCAAAAGATTTATTTGAGAAAACTTAAATTATGCCTCTGAGCAGTCTCTAGACTGGTTTTGAAATCTTTATTTATCAAGACAGCAAAAATCATTTTGTTTCCGAATTTTTCACTTTAATTAGACTTGATGTTATTTTCTTCTGATTTAAAATCCATTACTTTACAGTCTAATAGTATCTGTCATATTCTGTATGCATCAGGAAATTTAATGTACTGAATTAAGAATGGATGATGGCTAGAGCAAGCTGTTATTTCAGTTTTATTATTAAGCTATCATTTCACTGTATAATTCTTGTTCTTCATTTCCTTTTAGCCAAATATCACCAGAGAAGGGGTGGATTGTGGAGGGGTTTCCAATGACAATCAATCAGGCAAAGCTATTTGAAAAATCCTATACAGGGATTGATGTAGAAGCAAAAGATCCAATTTCTGAAAAGCTGTCCCTTGCTATAGATCCCAGAGCCCCTACCCAGCCTCCTCCTACCTCACCTGCATTTGATGTTTCTATATTATTGGATATTTCAGACAGTTTGGTACTGGAACGTGCAGCTAACGTGAAGTGTAAGTTTCCAACTCCTATTAACAAAGTAAAATGGCCAGCAGATATCTGTAACTTGTAGTTAATAATGCAAAATAGCATTACTGAAAAATTTCTTTATATCTCACAGTATCATTTTGTTAATTGTACCTTGAATACTTCCAGGTTATTTCAGATACTTCTGTTTGTTTCAGTCAAAGGCAGATCAAAAGTGGGCAAGTGCATGTCTATATGCTTTTTTGTATTTGTACTCCCACTGCAGCTGAGATAGCACAGTGGGTGGTGTTAGATATCACATAAAACAGCAGCAGGAAAAAACCACAAATTATAATAGATGCAGAATATACTGCATTACAAGTGTGTGTCTGTAAATAGTGTTTTTCTTCAGGAGACACACTTATAAAGGGAAAAAGGAAATTATAGACAGAGGGATGAGCCAATATTGATTCCCTGAGAATGCCAGAATAAATTCCCTATTGATTACTGCCTTTGTCTTGTCTTCAGTTAGTCAGGGAATGATCAGAAATTGAAGTCAATTCTGGTCAAACAAGGCAAAGACATCAAAGGCTTTTTGAGAGCTTTTTCACTTCCAGACCACACATTTTAAGACCTTGCTGAAACAATCATTTTTTAATGAGTATGTCATGTGTTATCCAAATTAGGAGGAGATTCTTCTTTTTAGTTTTCATTGCAGTGTATAGATGGCAAATAACTTGAGTTAAAGCACTATATACATTTGGCTTTTATGTATGGGTAAGAGTGAGGATGGGACAAAATCTTTAGAGCTTTTGCTAAAAATCTGGTGGGGATAAATGTACAGAGACTTAAAATTGCTAATTTTAAGACCTTATGCTGCCAAAACACTTGTAACATGTGGTTATATTTAATATAATCTCAGAAATACACATAGAATTTATTTCATAAGATGCAAATGTGATGACAGAAAGAGTCGATAGAACAATTTAAAATCTAATGAATTAAAGGCTTTTTTAAAATTTAAAGAAGACTCAGAAAGAGAGAATACTTTGTCTTTTGATAAATGGGATGTCTGTTCATTGTGAAAAGTAGGTACTTTGGATGAAATTGGAAAAATACCTTCTAATTGGTAGAGTAGATAAGCCTGAAATAGTCCCACAGGAATGCTCCACATCTTCAGCTGGAGATTTCAATGGCTAAAAAGCATCCATTAGGAAATGTTAGTGCTATAATTGGCTGTGCCCTTAAACTGAGGAAGAGGCAGGACACCCTGCTGGTGTTGGGTGGTACCCTACTTTTAAGTTAAGAAATGTAAAATCAAGAAACACTGAATTTGTTCTTAAAATGATTATCTTAGTTTGGGTGAATAGCTGTCTGAATAATTGCCTTTTTGAATATATGCTTCTCTATTAGTTTTCCACACAGTTGATGAAAGAAAGGCTTCTCAGTCTGAACAGAGCAGCAATCAAAATTCAGATTCTGAAATCCTAGAAGAAAATATTGACTTGGCCAGGGAGCAGGTGCTACATAGGTAAGTTATATGAAGTACAAAAATATTACTTCAGCCAGATGTTAGGTGTGTAACAGATCTGAGTCTCATATGTGATCCAGGACAATACTTACAGTGCCTAATGTTAAGAATTTACTTAGACCTTTCTATAATGTGGAGCCTAAAGGGTATTTTCATTTTCTGCGCAATATAAATCCTCCTGGAAAAGAAGAATTTTTGTGTTTGATTTCCCAGGGTATTGTTCCAAGGGGAATTTAGTTTTCAGGTATATATTGCATGAACTGTGTATACATTCTGTGTATATATATATATGTGTGTGTGTGTATCTATGTGTGCACTTATATCTGAGGTCTGTCACACGTGTGACTGCCCTTAAGTGAAATGCACTTGATTTAACTTAGAGATTTTGTAAAATGTTATTTTCCACTTCTACATTTACAAAAACCACTTAGTTTTCTAACTTAAATTGAATCACTAGTTTAATCACTAATTTAACTTTTCACAAAGAGGAAAATAAAGAACAATTCTTTCTTCTGAATGTTTGATACTGTTAACTGTTTCAGACTATTATATTATGCATCACTATTGGTTTAACTGTGATATTAGAAAATAAATATAGCTTGTGATATGAAAGAGTAAGAAATATATTATTAGTTGTCAATAGAATTTTGAAAACTTTCTTATATTTAAAATGATGGGGTTGATGTGGGTAGAGTTGTTTTAGTGTTAAATTAGATGATCTGCTTTTTCTTTTAGTTATCAATTTTAGAAAATGTTTTGTTTTCCATTAGTTAATTTTTAATTTCATACATTGATATGATTTTTGTAGGATTTCAGGCTTCCTAAAGACATGGCCAAAATTAGAGAAATGGTTTTCAGTCCAACAAAACAATCTAGTGAAAGTAAATGCAGAGACAGAAGAAAGTCTTGTGTGTGAAACAGTGAAGGAAATTATAATAGAAGAAATTGTGAAAAATCAGGATAGAAGTAAGTTTTCATACTCTTGCTTTCTAGAATTCAGTAACAAAAGACTTTGTCTTTTATAATTAAGACTAATAATTACTATATAAAATTATATGTCAAATCTACATTTTTGCTGCCCCTGAAAAAATCTGAGGATTTACAAGCTAGTGATAACTGCTTGATGTGATTCATCACCTTTCCAAGGATTTAAATGAAACTGACTGACTGGTAGTTCCATCTTGTCTGATGTGAAGACCTGGATGACATTTGCTTTCTTCCAGCCCTCAGGCACCTCTCCTGATCTCCATGGCCTCTCAAAGATGATCATGAGCTGGGAGCACATCTCCCAGCTAGCTACTATGTCTGCCAGTTCCCTCTGCCTTTGGGGATGGTCCTGTTAGGGCCCTTGCATTTATGGATGTCAAGTTTGTTTCGGTGTTAACTGATCCAATCTTCATTGAGAATTCCTGATTCATTAGTATGTTTTTGATGAACAGCACCTAAGTAATGAAACAGTGAATCTGTTGCATTATTTTGAACCTGTGAGAGTAGCAAAGATGTCTAATTCTGTTTATTGATACTTAAAATACGTTTGGAAGTATTAATTGCAAATTCATATCAAGGGTCTGCTGAAGAAATACCACCACCACCACCAGAAGAAGAAGAGGTTTTACCAGTTACAGATGAAGAAGAGGTTTTACCAGTCACAAAGGAAGAAGAAAAGGTTTTACCAGTTACAGATCAGTCTCCTTCCTCATCTGAGGCACCACCAGTGATTGAACCAGGATCGGATGAATGGATTTATGTAGAGGAACCACTTCCCCGGGTACACTAAATTCCAACTGAAAATCTTAAATATCAAAGTATATCTTTTTATTAGTGTTTTATCTATGTCCTACCTAAACCTTTTGCATCATTGCGTGTTGTTTTTTTCAATATTTTTCAATAAAAAGTATGCTATTACTTTGTGATAGCTATACGAAGGACAGTTGCTACTAAAATACATTAAAAAAGGAATTGTACTTTCAAATTCAATTTTGTTTTTTAATTCTTTCAATTATCGTGAAGAACACAGCTGTCAAAACAGTAATGCTTTTTACTATTATGAAATAGTAACACAAACTTACTAGGTAATTTTTCTTTTTCTCGCAAGAGTAAGCTGTGGTTCTCATACAAAGAGTAAGAATTTGGAGAGTGTGCACTAATCTTTCTCCTAGTATATTTTTTCCCTAATATTTTCTCCCCAAGGACACCTGCTCAGATTCTAGTGATCTGAAACTTAGGGGTTTTCTGATATGGCTGTATTTCTGTATCTTGTGCTTAGCAGCTCTCAGTGGACTTTTCTTCGAATGCTTATGATTTTTAGTTGGTTTAGTAGCTCTTTTGAAACCATTTACTTTTTATTCTCTGTGTCATAGCTTGTATAATTATGTTAATTCTGAAAAAATATTTCTGTTTCTTCACCTGAAACCATGATCTTTGCTTGGATCATTTGGTGACCCAAATGCACAGTGACAGTAATTCACATATTGAGAGATACAATGAGTAATAATTATATAATCAACCTCTGAGGGCGTTTAAGATATGACAAGCATCTCTTAAATGTTCATTTTGCTGAATGTTGCTTTTGTTCTCCAATCCAGTTATAATCTGTTCTAGTTCTTCTGTAAATTTTTTGAGAGGAGTGGCTGGGACTGCATGCAGTTTTTGAGATGCAGATTTTTCAAGGGTGGACAATGATGATATGAAATTTGTTCTGTAACTGTTTTCCTAATGTTTACCAGTTTTTCTTGTTAACTGCAGTCAGCTCACATATGCAGGGTTTCCTCTGGCCATTGCCTTTATTTAGACTTCATAACAGTCAGTCAGTCAAACATCACTTTTGCAACACTAGGCAGTTAGCTTAGATTTTTAGGAGCCCAAACAATTATGAATGACAAAATTTTCTTACTCAGTGATCTTTCAGTATCATCATTATTTTATGAGCATATCCAAACCAAATACTGGAATATTCTGCTGGAATGTCACATTCCTTTAGAGACCGACTACTTTTTCCCAAAGAAATCACAGGATAAAAGTATATGTTGGTACAATGTCTGTAATCAGCTGTAAACCAAAAGAAATACATAGTGAAAAAAAATCAATAATCTGGTTTCATGAGATAATGTTTTTGTGTATTTTCTAATGCTGCAGATAGATTAATTGCCAAGAAATAAATCAATTAATTTTGATGTTTTTAACAATTCACAGGAGATGATTGATTTTTTAGTACCTTACTGGGAAGTGGTAGAAAATACATATATGAGTACGATCAAAACTGTACTTAGATGTCTAAGGGATGAACAGTACACTATAATTCATTACACAGCAGATATTAGGTAAGTAGGAATAGTATCTTATTACATTAATATTAGCATTTTGTATTTTTCATGGGCTGTTCTGTAATCCAAAAGTTATTTTTACTCTAATTTACAGAAAAAAATTTCAAGATTATTTGAAACGTCCACATCTTAAGCAGGAGTTTGTATCTCTATGGCAAGCAGATTTTAATTCAATATCTAATGAACTGCAAGATGATGAGGAAACAAAAGCTGAACTACACCAAAGGGTTACTGTAAGTAAATGACAGAAATTACAATATACCCTAGACTATTATTTCCTTGTATACAAGCTTGATATAACATCAGCTTGATGAATCATATTATTAACTACTTTCTTCCTCTTTACAGTTCTTCTTAAACTATGTCTTTTCCTCTTGTGCATAATCTGTCCTTTAAAATTATTCCTCTGTTCTTTGCCTCTAATTTTCTTACATCTTGCTGTGGTATTGTGGTATACTGTAAAATAAATATTTCTCTGCTCTCTTTTTTTTAACATTTTGTGGATTTTAGAGATTTTACAAGTTGAATATTTCTATCACAATCCAAAAAATCTAGGCAGTGTTTTATTTTTTCTGTAAATTATGTATGATAGTCTCTGCTTTCTAAAACTGATTCATACAAAGTACATAGAATTTCTTGGGATGTTTTGATTCAGTTAGATCTTTTCTAGGTCATGTCCTGAGAGTTCTTTTTCACAAAAAGCAGTAACTAAATGTCCTAACAAATTCAGAGCCAGATTTAGTATCAGGCAAAAGTAGAGCAATCTTTGAATTCATCAGATTCCATTCCAGAACAGACATGATTTTTAGTTGAGCACCATCAGAAATGCTTCCCAAAAAGGAGAAAAGAAATACTGACAACATTTTTAGTTGAAGAGAACATTTGAGGAATAATGGATTAATTCATCTGAGATGGAAAAAGCACTGGACCTCCTTTTCCATAGAAATATTCTGAGAGAATGGAGTAGAAGACTGAAAAATCATCATCCATATTCCTAATTTCTACTGAATAGCATTATAAAAAGACTGGAATCACTCTATCCTATATTTTAAAAAGATAAAATTAAAATCTTTGGCCTTTTGTTCATAACAGAAATCCATGTTTGACATTATCCAGCTCAAGGTAAGTGAAGAGGAGGTTATACTTCTGTATGATGCAGTGAAACTCAGATACTGTGATAAGCCTAAGCACTTAGAGTGAATATATGATTTTCAGATTTTTTTAAAATTACCCATTCACCTATAGTGAATCCCAAACCACTGGGTGATTGTGAAGATGATCTTCTGATATGCTGTTAAAGCCATGCTCATTGTATCTCCCTGAATGTATGAATTCTGTCAGCTATCCTTCCTTGCTGTTAGAAAGAAAGAGTAAATTAAATAGTGACAATCTTCATAATGTTTTTCTTCAAACTCACAGACTCCTCAACACTATCATCTTATCTGGACTCTACCTAATACACTGGCAAATGCCAACTGTAATATCTGAAAAATAAATTTCTCTGGTATCAACCAGGAAATATAAAAACCCACCCCATTTTGAGATGTATGTAAAATTCCTTAAAGGCCCAAAGCCCAGAGGGCAGCCAAGACTTTGGCCTGATGTTGTGCTTAACCCCAGCCTGCATTCAAGCCTCACACGGCCATTGACCCACCACCAGTGGGATGGGGGAGAGAATTGTGAAAGTGAGAAAGCTCCTCCTGGGCTGAGGTAAAGACAATTCAACAGGCAAAGCAAAAGCTGTGCACAGCAGCAAAGCAAACAAGGAATTCATCCATCACTCCCCAAGGGCAGGCAGGTGTTTGGCCATCCCCACCAAAGCCAGGTCCAATCACACACAGTGGTGACTTGGGAAACAAACACAGCCACCCCCAGTGTGCCCTCTGCTTCCTTCTTCTCCCTCTGCTTTATATACTGAGCATGGTGCCATATGGTATGGCATGTCCCTTTGGTCATCTGGGGACAGCTCTCCTGTCTGTGTCCCTTCCCAGCTCCCTGGTACCCACAGCCCCCTTGCTGGTGGGTTGGGGTGAGGAGCAGAAAAGGCCTTGGCTCTGTGCGAGGGCTGCTGAGCAGTAACAAAATCATCCCTGTGCTGTCAGCACTGCTTCCAACATGAGTTCAAATCATAACCCATAGTCACTGCTCTTAAGAAATTAACTCCTCCCCAGCCAGAACCAGCTCACATCCTAAATATCCAAACACAGAATTACCATGGATAGAACACACTTCAGCAGCACATCTCTATCTGTCTTCCAGAAATTTCTCCAAATTCTTTCATTGGACTGCTATCATTGAGTATGATCAGTTGCTTGCTATCACTACTTTTCTTGTTCCAAATAGGGGAGGACTGAGCAAATGCGTCCTTTCTTAGTTTTTTCACCACTTCACTACAAGAAAAGGAGAGAAAAGCTGCTTCATTGTGAAAAGAGAGAGAAAAAGAAGATACTCATAAATCATGCTTTTAGCTTCTGCCAGAGGAATATAACTCACTGTACTCCTCTGCAGTTTTCTCCACTGCTTACAGTAAATCAAAACTGTGACTTAAATAACATGAGGACAAAGAGTAAAATCCTTCATGTTACATGTTTAAGACACATACTGGAAAAAGTTATACATCAGTTGTACAAAACATTAGCTGTGAGACAGGAGTGAGAAAATGTGAGAAACAGCTCTATGGTCACAAAGAACGGCGAAGAAGAAGGAAGAGGAGGTGGTCCAGGCACCAGGGCAGAGATTCCCCTGTGGCCTGGGGAGAAGGCTGTGGTGATGCAGGTTGTTCCACAGAAGCCCATGGAGGGACCTCGGGGAAGCAGATCTCCACCCTGCAGTCCATGCAGTCCACCCAGGCTGTGTCAGGTGGGCATGCCGTGAAGGAGCAGCAGCCTGGGGAGAGCCCAGCCAGAGCAGGTTCCTGGCAGGAGCTGTGGCTGGTGGAATACTCACATTGGAGCAGTACAGTCCTAAAGGCCTGCACACACAGAAGGGATCCACACTGGAGTGGTTGTTGAAGAACTGAAGCCCTTGGGAAGGCTTGCATCAGAAAATTCGATGGAGGACTATTTTCCATGGGAGGAAGCTCACCCTGGAGCAGGGAAAGAGTGTGAGGGAAAGGAGTGGCAGATAAAAATATATCGTGAACTCACCCTAATGATTCATTCCCCATTTTCCCTGTGCCATTTAAGAAGGAGGAAAGTCAGGAGTGAAATTAAGCCTGGAAAGAAGAATGGATGGAGGAAAAGTGTTTTTCAGTTGGTTTTATTTCCCATCATTCTGTTTTGTTATTATTTGTCATTAAATTAAATTAATTGCCCCAAATCAAGTCTGGTTTGCATATGATGGTGATAGGGGAGTGATCTCTTCATCATTACCCTGATGCATGAATTTTTCAATAATATTTTCTCCCCCTTTCCTGTGAGGAAGAGTGATAGAGCAGTTTGGTGGACAGCTGGCACCCAGCCAGGGGCAGCTCACTGCTGCCAATAGACATATCATATACTTAAATATTTTTCATCCAGTAGCATATTCTTATGTGCCTATTCTAGTGTGAACAGCCATGAATATCTGATTGCCTGCATTTTGACTACATTGTAGCCATCATTGATATGTTAGATAGCCCAGGGACTTCCTTGTGGCTTTTGTACCACAGAAGACAAGTGGATTTATCTGAAGTCTTCAGAAGGGGAAGAGATACAGAATCTGACATTATAGGTTGCAACCAAGACCTGGTGAATATGGAATCACTTCACCAGAAGCCTAAACTCCTCTACTTTTCTTCTGCCCCAGATTGGGTAGTGTAGAAATGCCTGGAGCTGGAGACATCTCATCTTGTCCTACCTTGGCACTGTATTTAACAGCACCCTTCTCCCATAACCTCTTACACATAATGAGCTGTCACACGAAATCCATGCAGAGATGGCAGTAGGGAACAAACGAGTTGCATAATGTTTTTTGCTTAGTAGGCCCTCAGTGCTGTCAGTGAGCCCCACAGTGCTATTTGACATAGTCACTAGCTGAAGAGCCCTTAATTAAATGAACATTAGAGAAAACTGGTATGGAAGACTCAAGTTTGAAAATCACTTGAAATCTGACACAATTTTCTCATTATTTTTCATATTGCCCATCCCCTGAGAGTACTATTCTTAGCATATTAATTAGCAAACCATTCAAGTGCAAAGTTGTTTGTGCAGTTGGCAGCTTAGCAATTCATAGTGTCATATTTGTCTAGCTTAGGTAGATTATCTCTGCCTGAGGAAAGCAAGGCTGCCTGCATGCTGAAATCATAACTTTGTGTTCTTCTCTCTGGCACACTTGTAAAGAAATTTTTTGTCATCCCTCTGTAGGCATGTGACCTGACCAGATGTTGATATTTATAACAATAAAGGAAAAGCCCCAGATAGAAAGTTGCCCTATACCCAGGCAATAAAAATAAAATTTAAAAATATGTTTTCTTTCATAATTAATTACCATATTTGATTTTCTGTTTTAGGACCTAAGAGATCTTCTCTGGGATATCTGTAACACTAGAAGGGAAGAGGCAGAGCTGGAACGTACTGGTATCATGAATGAAGGGTGGTTACCAGATCGTAGGGGGATTGCAATGAACCATTTCTTTACAATTATGCAGGTATGGACTGCTACAGTTAGTCTGAGAGAAATTTCATATGGTTGGCTCCAAATATGTGAAAGATTAAAAATTGCTTAAGCAAATATTCATGTGTTTTCTGAATTTATAGACAAAGTTAAGAGACAAAAAAGAGATGATAATCCATACATTTAACTCTGGAATACAGGAAAGATTAAGAAAAATACTATTGTTGTTCAACCCCCAAAACTTTCAATCTCTCTTATATACTGCTACTTTTTAGATTTTTTGAGCTCCAATGAATCATCTTGAGTTTTGTGACTTAAATGTTACAGCTCTTTATCCTTCTGTGATCATATTGACATTTCCTTTTAATTTATGAATTGCATCATTCACAGCTATTACAGTATTTCCTATGTCTCAATTTTATTTCACTGATGTGGTCTGAGAATTTATCTGCTGACCAAAAAAAGAATCCCTAAAGAATCAAGTTATGTTTTGAGATAGAGATGTCATTTGCTGCTGTTTTTCAAATATGACTGAACTTTGAGATATGTAACTTCAAAGTTTTCAAGCGTCCATTCAGTCCTACAGTAAAGTAAGATTTCCTTGTTACTGCTGTTCTAGGTGTGTAAAATTAGTTTTGAACTGGATTGGAGTATTCCTGACTAGACTGGCCAGAGAGGCTTTTTTGCAAACTGAAGTGACCATTCTGTGAAAGTTTTGGCAAATTTAAAGACAATGAGAACAGTGTTTTAAACACCTGCCTTGTGATGCTAATTTAGCTGAGAAAATCAGGCCTAAGCAGTTTAGGGTGGGGTTTCAGCCCTTTAATTCTCTCTGCTATTTTTATATATTTAATAAAAAAGGGATCCGCTCTCTTATCTAATGTGAGTGTTGTGGTAATTCAAGAAAAGTTTGTGAAATTGTCAGTGCTATAGTAAGGAAATTGTTAACTTTGTTTTCAAAGAGTTTACATAATGCCCTAAATAAAGACTTTGGGCCACTGACAAAAGAGAGGTCAAAACAGCAAATAACTGCTGACGGTCTGAACCTCATTGGTCCTGTAACTAGGATATTTATAGTCCTGAATATTAAAAAACATCCATCTTGAACTATATGCATAAAGGAGACAAAGTTATACTACAGAGCTTAAATATTCTATTATTCTCCTAGTTATATCTTTGCAATCCTAGTTCTAACAGAATTTCGTGGGCATATATGATGGAGTTCAGCAGAGATTCATATGAATCTTTGTGGACATGCACAATAACTGTTTAAAATTACTAATACATATTAACCATATATAAGCTTTTGTTTTTTAAAGAAAAAATTAATAGAAAACATTACTTCATGCTTTACTTAGTATATATTCCCCCAAATAAATGAATTATTAATCCTAAAACTACAGGACTAAATATATATATAAAATAAAAATATGACTTTATGTAATAACTGTTCTTTTTAGAAGCAGCCAAAAATAGGCTTCTTTGTCATTGAGCTCTCAATTTGTGGGGTGTTCTGTTAGAGGTTACATATATTCCCCAGGTGGCTCTGTAACTGTGTAAACACATAGATTTGTATAAATGCCGTTTATCAGATTTCATTCCTTTCTATGCACACAGTTATACTAGAAGATATTTCCTCCGTAACTTATGGATAAGTGCTGGTTTACACCACAAAGGTTTTATCCTTTGTTTTGTGAATGTGGTTTTGTACATTTTCCCATGAATATTTAGTACTGTTTTGTCAGTTAGAAACTAACACCATACTGAATCAATAAATCAAAACATGACAGGTGTTAAATGTTTCTTGAATCTTACTTGATTTCTTCTGAGATGATTCACACAAAAAGATCACGACACTTAGGTGTTCAAAGTCTGTTGATTACTTAGGTACAGAAAAACTGTATGACTTTAAAAATTTTCTCCATCATATAACCCTTTTTATTTTATGCTTTTAAGACTTTATTTCTTCTGAACAAGAAGATCCATGTAATTTGTTAGCACTAGTGTACTTGCTACTGGGAAATATATATATTCATCATAATATATTGTAACTAAATTGAATGCATTTAACATTTTTTACTGTAAATAGCTTTTCCTATTTTAACAATTAAGATTCTTATTGCTGCCTAGAAATGACAGTGTGAATATATTATAGATGTAAGTAGAAGTATGCATGCAGTATATTATAAATTTTAAAACAAATATGACTGTGTTTCTTGCTCTCCTCAAATTCTTAAGATTTAGAATTGCTTCTATTAACATGTGATAACAAAAATTTGTTCTGTGGTATGTTGAATTGCAGTCTCTTTGTCCATTCTTCTTCAGGCTGAACTGGATCGTTTCCAAGATACAAAGAGACTTCTTCATGACTATTATAGGGCAATGGAAGGAAAAATCCCAACAGAAGACACTCAGGATTTTACTAGAATCCCATTGTTAGATATTATTAATGGAGAGCAGAAGGAAGATCAAGTTGAACCAAGAAGGTAGAAATGCAGCATAAAATGGAACAAATAGAGCACATAAAATGAACAAATAGAATGCACTGATAGATTTCTGGAGTATATGGAATTAGATATATGTATATTTCAAAGGATGAAGAAATTAGAAATTTTTAACCAGGGATTATAGTCAAATGATGAATCTCAAATAATTTTAGAGGTTACATTTATCCCTCATTTTTTACTTATTTACCTGTATCATGTTCATCAATGCATTGCTGAATTGCAAAACATTTTAAAAGCTGCCTCGGGAGGAAATCTACTATTATAGAAATGTTTCCTTCTTTCCTTTATATTGCTGATAGTTTACAGCACAATCCTCATGTGTGTAAAGCATTGTTGTGGAACACTAGTTGATTTTAAATTTGTGCCAATAAATAAAATTAAATGTTATCAATTTTATGTAAATGTAAATCAAATTAACCGTTATGTAATAACAGATGTAAGTCTAAGCAACCTATAAAGATGTACCAAACTGAATGCCATATTAAAAGATGAGGGATTCCACCTGATACTTTCACAATATAGAAAATGCCATCAGTAATAACACCTGATTTTTAACTTAATTAGAGTGAATTAAGAAATTATCTGAATAATGTGTCTGAATGTGGAATTCATCAGCAGATCACACAGTCATTTGATGTAATTTTATCCATCTGTTATTATGTTTTAGGTCTTACACTTAAACTGGAAATTTTTCTGGCCATATACACAGCTCATCACTTTTGGTCATAAGGAAAGTTCCTCCCTTTTTTTTGCTATTGCAAATTTGAAAATAACATTTCCATTCTTTCAGCATATTCTCTAACTTAGATATTGACACTTTTTATAAAGCAGTATCTAAATTATTCCTTATATTTTATTTTTGAGGATTCCTCTAGTTTCTTTGAAAACACCTACACCAAGTAATACAGAGTCAGAAAAGAGTGGAACTAAGAAGAGGAGTCTTAAGGATAACAGATCTGAAAATGAAGTGCCCACTTGCAGGGATGATAAAACTCTTGTCATTGATGCATGGCAAGCAGCAGTAACAGCAGTATCAGATATGGTATGGAATGTTTTATTTACTTAAAGATTTCTGGATTGTACAGTCAAAGCCCCCCCATTCAGTAGGCAGTCTAAACACATCATCTTTTCACTGTTTATCTCAGTTTCATATGTCTTTCTCCACCATTGATATTTCCATTTAATATGTTTGTAGTTCTATGAGGAAAATGTTGGAGTGTGTGTTTTCAGCACCTCCATATTTATAACTGAGCCTTTCATTCCATTACTGAGAAATATTTCAAATGTTGCCTCTATGTATCTTCTTCCATGATAAACTCTTCTCTTATCCCTCAATAGAAGTGTGAGAAGATGGATTAAGTTTAATCCTGTGATGCTGTGTTTGCTCAAACCTTTCAGATGTTCAGACCCTATGGTTACATTCTTTTTTCTATATAGCTTAAAGTAAATTAGGTAAGATTTTCAAATGGTTGGTTTCTAGGTTAGATTTTTATTTTCTCTTTGATCATTTAAAAGAAATTAATTTCTGCCCCTTCATAATGTAGCTCTAGGCTTGCTTAGTGTACTGTTGATTCTTGCTTTTCTAACGTTTTTCTCAAGCACAGACAGTGGCTGCAAGAATTAAACTCAGTATGGCTCTGTCTTGCGTTTTTGCTGCAGAATTTTATTTTTGATAAATAATAAAAATTTAGTCAAGTAGTTAAAATATCTCCTTTGTTTTTTTAATGTGTCTACTTTTCATCAAGTACTTTCAGCAAGCATAGGTTATTTAAAACAGTAGTTGCACAGAGCTGATACTATGCACTGTACTATGTGTGACTGTGGTGTCAAGGTAACAGCTGAAATAGAGTTTAGAGAAATGGAGGAAGAAAATGAACGTCAGCTAAAACAGAAATCTTCAAAATCTTCAAAAGGGGCTGGGAGAGATACCAAAGCTGCCAAAAATGCATCTTCCAAATCACCTCCTAAAAAAAAAGGTATTTAAAATGCAGGCTTTGTTTTAGCAGTGCTTGAAATAACTGAAATGTAAATATGTGAATAATACAGAAATTAATAACACAACATATTTAATTTAGATATAATTTCTCTTTTAAAATGTGACATCACTATAAAAAGCTGATAGTGATAAATGAGGGGAAAGGCATTTGAATGGCAATTGCATTTGTTTAACATTTGTTTAAACATGTGTAGTTTTTATATGTAAAAGTAAATATACTAAATGGGAAGTAAATATTATTTTTTCTTCATGTTCTGCATTGGAATGGAACAGTTAAAGCTAGTTTATCAAGTGAAATAAATTATGCCTATTTGACTGCTGAAGTCCTAAAAAAGAGCAGATTCCTATTGAGGTAGGTTTTGCACATAGGCCTGGCAAGAATCTATCCCACCAGGTGAAAACACAAAATTTATTTCCAAGAGAGCAAAAGCAGGCAGTGTGCTGGAAGAAATTGTGGCATTCAAGGCTGTTTATGCATTTTCTGACAACTATTTCCTTGTGCAGATAGTAGTTTATGTAATCTTCACCTTTTGTCTGCAATATATCATAATTTCATTAGGAAGCAATGCCTGTAGCCCAAACTTTTGTATCTTCTGTTAAGATATTCTCCATAGCAAGAGAGAAGTTCAGGCCCTGTGGGTGTAGGGTGGCCTGAAATTTGTATACTCCAAATTAGAAAGCCGTAACTGCAGAGTTATTGTGCATAACACAGTTGACTTTTTTCTTTGGCAGAAGTTTCTTTTGCACTGTGCTCAGTTCTCCCTCTCTCTGGTTATCTCTGCCCATACAGAGTGAGCAGAAGCTTAGCCTAGCAAATACTTTGCCAGTTGTGAGCCCCAGGGAGCCTTAGGCTTAGTTTAGCATCTCAGCTAAACTAAGATGAGTTTAGCCAAGAGAGTAGCAGATTTTCTGACTTCTAGAGAAGTTTTGTGATAAATCTCAGCAGCTGTTGCATGCTGGTTTGAAGTTTATGAATTGCTTATTGGAACCAAATTTTTGTTCAGACCTGGTACAAGATTATCTGAAATCAGAAAACCAGAACTGCAGCCAGAAAGCTGTGCCTTCTTCCTAGTAGAAGATGAGGTATGAACTGATGGATTTGTGACTGAAGTATTGACTTTGATTTAATTTCAAATACAGTGTTACTGTAGTGTTCCTGTAACATGAGAGCTCTCAAGGACGGAGCTGTGGGCTGGTAACAGAGTGAAACATCTTACCACATGTAGTTTTATCACTTCTAGAACTGACCATTTGTTTTGTGTTGACCTTATGTATCATGCAGATATCATTATATTTTTTCTGTAACATCTCCATCTGCTCTTCTTCTAGGACAAAGCAATTAAAATATTTTAATTTTGTTGAGTAAAAGTTGTGTGGCTACAGAATTTCATGCAATCTCTAAAAACATGATAAAATACCTTTACTGTATCTGTTGATAGATAAGTAAGTCAAAACAAGGTGGAAGTACAGGTTTGAAGGGGCATGAAATAACAGATCTCCTTTTTCTTTCTGGTTTGGTTTTTTTTTTTTTTTATTTTAATAGCATAATTCTTTTCACTTCTTTGATGGTAACTACTACCATAACATATTTACTATAGTTTGTTAAATTTGAATTTATTCCAGAAGAAACAAGTATTATTCAAAAGACATTTATTTGTGTTCTGGTTGCAAAAAATAGGTAAATACTAGGATAAAGCAGGACATTCTGACCATCTAGGATCAAATGAAAGGTACACTCATTCAGTCATGATTTTCCACTCAGAAATACATTTTAGGATGTTATTTAACAAACTTTAGTACAGTTGTATATGCTGGGGTATTTGTATGCAGTGTTAACCTTAGCATGACTTGCAGATGTAAATTACATTTGGCAGCTGAGTATCCACCTTTGCATTCTCATAAATGGTCACATCAAGTAAGGTGTTTTCACAATACACAATTTTTTCATGATACAAGCAAGCAAATCTAAAGACTGAGAGGTCTGTTTTCCTGCAGGAGCAAAAGCCACTCCAACTCCTATAGACCCAGAAGAATTAAGGAAAGAAGAACTGGCAGTTAAAATAAAGCAAGAATATTTCAGTGCCTTGAAACAGGAGGGTATGTTACTATTTGGTTACTTATATTAGTTCAGACCCTATGGTTGATTGGATGATTGTTATTCCTAATTTGACTATGTGATTGTTATTCCTAATTTGACTAGTATGCTAGTCAATACTAACCAGAGACAGTTGGCAAAATGGATGGATAAGAAAGAAAAAGAATGAGAGTCAGTCATGTCTGGAGAAATAAGGAAATACTTTTAGTGCGGTAATCATCAGTCATTCTGTGGTAAATATACTAAAGGTGGTAAAATTATTTTCATTCCTTTTGTCTTCTGTATAATTTAATATAATTTAATTGTCATGACTAAGCAAATATTCATCCTGAGACTAAAGATTTTGCATAAGTTGTTACTCATACTTCAATATTCAATTGAATTGGATTCAGTATTTGAAATGTGTTGTTCTGGGAAAGAATGTTTTGCCATTTGCATATTTCATTGACTTTTTTTTCTCTGATTCCCTCCTCTTCAAGCAATATGGGATTCAAGCAGCAGGACATAGATTTTGTTTGTTCTTCCAAACTGCTTTATGAACAGACTCTTCGAAAACTTACATATTGTTCAGGCATTCTGTCTCTTTTTCTGTCTTACCCAATAACTTTCAAACAAAATGATTCATTTCAGCCAAAAGGAGATGTTTGAAGAAAGAAGTCCCAAATTGAAAATGGTTTGAGAATTGTTTTTAAAGATAGGTTTAGACTAGAAGAAAGACTGTTTTGTCATTAAAGGGAAGACAGAACCCAGCTTTTATTGTTTCTGTTTGGCAACTGTTGGCAAGCCCATCATCACATGGTACCTCTTTGGTGGGCTACCTATTGCGTAGTATTTTTTTATTAAAAATAGAGGGCAAACAGCAGTTATTGAACAAACCACAAAATCATAAGGTTTCTTTAGATCCATTTGGACCAAATGCTTGTACATCTACATCTTTGATCATGGTTTAATACAAAAGCAGTTCCAGAATAAAATTGCCAAATGAGAAGAATAGTAATACGTTGAAGATCATGCATGAACATGAATTTTAGTAATTCATTAGCATGTATTTTTTTTCTCTTGACATTGCTTCATTTTCATCCTATATTTAATAAAAAAACCTCAAGAACCTAAGGCTGGCTGAGCATGTTGAACTCTATTTCCTATTTGCACAGGCACATAGCTGGCATTTGAGAATTATAGTTTTGCTTGCAGCTTTGTTATCCAGTTACCTTTTGGGAACTTGTGGTTTTCATTTATGCAGATACCTAGAGTCTAGCAAAAGCACTAGTTGTGTATAGTTGCTAAGTTTTTAACATTGATTTAATATTTAATTTCTCTGTTGCAACAATGTACCTTGCCTTTTATTCTGTTAATGATAAGAGAGCAGTTTTATCAGTCGTCTATGCAGTACCTACCTCTGAAAATACAGGGAGACAAAAATTGTCATGCACTTACCTCTGTAACATACTGATAGCAGCTGCTCAAAGAACATGTACAGAAGCCACAATTACATCAGCCTTAACTGTACTACAGAAAAATGTCTAGCCAGGCAGCAAGTATCCTCTAAGGTGCTTTTAGCTAAAACAGTTAAATATGCTGTTAAATTAGGTGCTTAGATGGAGAACATTCCTCACATTTTATAAATATTATTCATTATGATTTTACCATTTAAACAGAGGCAGCCACAAAATCTCGGCTAGAACTTGTAAAAGAAAAAGCTTTAGCATTTCTTGAGGATCTAAAATTTAAAGCAGAAGAGGCTTATAAAGATATGGAAAAGTGGCTTGGATCCACCTTCTTGGAGGAAAGATCAAGGTAACATGTATAAATTTTAAGCAGGATTTTTTTGGGGTCTTTTTTTTAACCTAGATTAAGGTAGTAAATACAGAAGTAATTTAGAAAAAATGTAGAAAATAATAATTTCATGTAGTGGTATCTTAGAAACCTGACTGCTTCTAACTCATTTCTTGGGTGATTAAAAGGTTCTGCTTGTAGCTGTAAGGGTAATTATCATGGTATGCTATTTTTCTTGACTACAGGTTTAGCAGATTCCTGAGCAGACAGTCAGTTATTCCATTCAGTAGAAAGCTCTGTATCATTTCAGTAGCTTCTTTCCTGTTTTTTACACACACTGGAAAGCTCCATCTTTTGTTCTTATCACCACGTATTACATTCTTCAAAATTCTTTCAAGGACCATTAAAAAAAGTTCTTCACAGTTTTTTTCTGTCCTAGTAAATAAAATGTACTTGGGATCACTATAGCACTTTAGACTCTCTGACATAGAATGACCAATGTCTGAATTATTAAATGGCTTTTCCTCTCTAAAGGAAAGGAGTGACTTTGCCTTTTACAAGGTATTTCTGGCCTCTACTAACTTTTGAATCATAGCTGGGACAGTGCTGCTTGATCCATGTCAGGGCATGACCAAGAAGAGAGGCATAAATGGAAGATGTGAAGGCTTTAACAGGCAATAGCTCAGATGCAAAGCTGCTTCCTTCCAGCCAGTTTTATTTGCTCTCCTGATGTGCTAACAAAGACACAGTATTTAAGGAATGTCATATCCTTTGACCTGACACTCCAAGCCAAATCTGCAAAGACATCAGCTGATGTCTGTCCCTGTATAAATTGTACTCATTGCACTCGAAGGAGGAGATTGTGCCTCTCCAGTATGCCAGCCTAGGAAGTGCTTTCGTATTTTTCCACCAGGTCTCTTCTGTGTCTTAGATCTGACTTTGTATAAATTTCTGACTGCAGTCAAAGGATTTCTTGCAGCCACAGGAAGAGTAGACTTCATAATGATTTTGGTAGTTACAGAATCCACACAGAGGGTTTGAAATTCTTACTTTAGGAAAACTTTAAAAGCATAAGCATATTAAAATTCAAAGCTATGTTGTTAACACTGTGTATTATACTCATGGGTGTCTTCATTTATGTTTTCAGTGTTGAAAGACTGGTAGAGGTTGCACGACATCATATTGAGAGTGCTAGCAAAATCTTATATGAAATGACTTTAGAAGGAACAGATTTCTTCATCAACGGTGATGTAAAAATGGTTCCTGACCCTATTCCTGACCCTGATCCTCCACCAGAATTTCAACGCATAGAAACCTCTGAAAGCAGTACTCTAACTATTTCACAACTTACAACACTTCATACACAGTTTCTGCAGCTGGCACCTAAAGGTAAGAAATTTTTTCCTTTTAACTCCCAAAGGACTGTTGATTATCTACTTAAAATCTAGAGTAATTGGGAGCTTAGTCAGTTGTCTGTATTGCTAAACATAATATTAGTTATCTATATTGTTAAAGATTGTACTACAGTTAAAGATCCTGCGGCATAAAAAAGCAAAGTCATGGTGAGGGGATATTGAAAATGTGAAATAACAGAGCAGTTGAAAGCTTTTAATGGCTTTCCTAGGGGTTTTTATTGTCAAGACTACATGTTTAGTATTCCTCTAACAGGTGTCTCAGTAATAGGTTTTCAGTACAGTGTATATTATGCTTGCTTTACTTAAATATGCAAGTATTATTTTTTTTTTTACTAATTGAGAGCTCTGTGAACTTAGGCTATATTATTTTAAAACACAATTTTTAAATTATCAGTATTTTCATGGAACTATTATATAGAGTCTATTATAAATATTAACCATTATGTTCTTCAAATCGATGTGTGCCTGTTGTCTGGGTGGTTTGCAAGCATTAGCTCAGACATGTAATTTTTTTTAATGTGCATTTTTAAACATGCATTTTTTGTATGTCTAGCCCCTAATTATGGGACCTTAAGTCTTAGGAAGCCTAAAAACTTGCAATACTTTTTGGGACTGTATAAATGTTACAAAGTAACTTAGGTAAGGCAGTTTTAAACTGAGATGGGAAGTAGTTACATGTGTATTTGCAGAGTGTTTTATTATCAGTGTTCCATATTAAAATTATAATGTTAGTATTATTGCCACTAAGACTGTGAAATATAATGTGTAAACAAGTGCTTACAATTCAAGATCTAACTCTTCCAGTGTAATAAGGCCACAAAAGCACAATGAAGTCGAGTTTAATTCTTTATTGGGGAATTCTTTTCATGTATATTTATAGAGCAATTCCAATTTCCTTTTGCATATAAAACCACTTTAGGGAGAAAGATCTTTACAGTTTTCCTATAGAGAGAGGCATATCATCTTATCTCTAGAGTATGAATGTGTGTGTAAGCATTTCAAAATCTCCTGTAGAGACCTCTTCTGCAGATAGTAATGCATATATAATACAACATGAAACTAAAAATCTGTATGTTTGTAATCATTTACAGTGCTATAGAAGTGAAACACAGATACCAGTTTAATTGGCATTTTCACTTAAAAGGTTTTTTTTGGTTTTAGATAATTCATGATTAAGATACTTAAAACAAAAAAAAAATGTCTATTGCAAATTTTAATATTCTTGACATATTTCAGACAGAACAACTATTTTCTTTGTAAATTTATAATAATTAGCAAAAAACCAATTGAAGTCTTTATCATTTTACAGTATTTCCCTTTTGACTGTATTATATTCCCTAAAATCACCCAACATTACTTGCGTGACTATCTGAATAAGGGAAAAAGGGAAATTTTTTGCCTTAGCAGTCATGAGACTGTCAAAGAATGCTATTGCTTGTTCTCTGAGACAATGGGAAAGAATGATTGTTCAAAATAAAGTCCCATACCTGATGTAATTATCTTCTTTTGGTGACTATTACCTTTTTTGGATTGCTGAATTAGGATGGAAGGCACAAGCTATGCAAGTCATCTTTAAAATACTTCCTCCCGTCTCTTACGCATTTTTAGACTGCATAAATCACATCCTAGGTTTCCTAAGGTGATCACTTCACTTCATTATAGACTCCTTTCTTTCCTAAAACATCAGGAAAATTTTTCATAGGCTTCTGTCTCCCCTTTTTCAATAGAATGTTCAAGAGAAAATATACATCTCAGTAGTTAGTCTCTCACTGAACGAAAGGGGGAAAAACACTAAAGCACAGCAGCAGTGAAATTGTTGAACAGCATCTCTAAAGGAGATACCAAAAAGTAACAAACAAGCCCCTGCCTTGGAGAACCTCCAAACAGATCTAGATTTGCTGCCAATCATATTTTTTCTTATTCTTGCCTACCCCAGCATATCTCTCAGCATTCATAGTGGAAATTCACATAAAAAAGCACACAGAGCACAGGCTATTTGACAAGTCTAAATAGAATAAACCTACCAATCTCCTTGTACTAGAATAGAAGTAGTAGTGAACAATAAATTTCCTGAAGTTGTTCTGAAAATTGGAATTTTTAGGCTTTTCTAAAGCATCATGGAGATTACATGAAGCATATTTTTACTTAGAAATGCAAACAAAGAGCAACAAAGGAGGGGGGATTATATTAGAAGAAATTACCATGTAAACAGGTTTGTCACAAGATATTTGGTATCTGTCAAAAGGAAATATTTTCAAAATATATTTAACAGATTGCCAAAATTAAAACTAAAAGTGGGAGTGCCAGTATACTTTAAAATGTTTGATATTCATGGAAGAATTCTTATGAAATAGTTTTGTGTTTCCTAGGAATCTAAAATTTTAAAGAACTACCGATTCTTCACAGACAACTTTGTGCTGTCCTGCACACTTGGCTCTCCATGGAAGCAAATTATTCTCCGTTCTAAGCACCAACGGACATAAAAACAGCCTGTGCTGGACCTTCCTACCTACTGACAGCCTTTCATTTGAGAAAAAATTTTATTTCTTGTTTTATTATTATCCTAAGTGCTGTTGTCCAAAGTCAACATGAATCTGCACTAATTAATTTCACTAACTCTTTGATGAAGTTTTTAAAAATGCTCTAATATATTACCTTCAGAGTGCTTTTTCATAGGAACAGCTGTGACAACTCTTAAATGGAGCTAATAACATTCAATTTTATTATTTTCTCTCTTACAGTCTTTTTGAATGCATGGTTTTCTTATCAAAAAAATTAAAATATTCATTAGATCTCATCCCCTTTGATTCCCTTGAGCACTATGATCTTCTATAACCACATCTCTTGTCATTTCTATTAGCACACATATGGAATGTCTCAGTTTTCTTCTAAAGCTGTTTCAGAGAATGCAATTTGTGTGGTTTTGCAATACAAAGCAGATCAAAGTAGATTCAATGCCAGATTTGTTCTCTGTCTCATGACTGAATCACACAAGAGCATTTTAGTTTTTTTTCTTTTTTCTCAGGCATGATCCTTATGAACCTTCAGTATAATTATGGAAGTGATTCTATAATTAGATAGAACAGACACCAGTCCAGTTTAAAAAAATTCTATATCCAATAACCAAAAATGTTTAAAATGCTTTTTTATGAAACTATCAAATAGTCTGCTAAGATGTAAGCATAAGAGACAACCAGTGGCCATATTGCATTGCTGTGTGTTTTCAAATTGTGAACTTGTGAATTGAATTTTACAGGATTGGTAGATTTGGAGCAGACTGTTATAATAAAGTGTGCATGTAGCTCAGCTGAAATGTTACCTTTTCGATGTAATTTTTTTTTGAGTCAGGATTATAGGATGACCTTGGATAATGTCTACAGATTATGCTTTCTTTCCCCAAGCACTATTGTTGTAGAAACAATTGAAGAATAGTAATTGCCTGACTTTGATGCTAATAGAGACTGAATTCCATACGAGAGCATAGGAATAGTTTTGTCATCTCTAACTTACATCTTTTGAAGACTATTTATCTTCAATGTATTTTTTTGAGACTTGAAAATATGAAAGTTTTAAGTCTGTGGACAGAGGAAGTATCTCTTTTTAGGTGAAAACTTAGTAATTCTACCACTAGTTTAATTTATATCTCCTGTTATGTCTCTTATTAAGTCATGTATGGTATTTAATTTCAGAAATTTGTGGAACATATTTAACATGTTTGTATATGTTTCTGTGCATTTGAATATATACTATATATATATATATATATATATATATATGATTTGAAGATTTCAGTCAGCATGGCAGAGGATCTCACCCCTCACTACATCTCTGCAGCAACTAAAATACCTTAATTCTCAGTGCTTCTAAGTTTAAAATCCCAATTCTTGCCAGTTAGCAAAGATTGGACATATAGCAGCACCAGTAATAATTAGTGACTATGCAAATTGTACACATATTTACAAGTGAAATTGACTGTAGGGAGTGATGAGTCTGTCAACTTGGATGAAAAGTATCATGTTTTTGCGACTCCTATCTTTTTCACATAAGGGTAGAAGTATCCCATATTACTACCTTTTAGAGTCTTTAAGTTAAAAGAATATAAATCAGCCTTCAGGGTTTATTTCACTCATTCATATGTATGCAATTGCTACAGAGTCTGGTGTATAATTTGCAAGGGATTATTATCCAAATCTTTAGTCAGGAACTGCTATGGAAACTTTTTTCTCATTGAAAATAGAGGGGAATATTAATCTGTTCAAATGTTTTGACAAAATTTGATGATGAGGGAATAAATGGTAACATAATTGTCATCTCTAGTATAAGTTTACAATCTCTTAATATTTTGTTACCTGTGTAAGTGTATAATCTGAATGTTTAATAGAGACTTACTACTTCATCACTTTATGGAAATATTTTTATACAGCGCCTATAGAAAATACTCTGCTGACTGGGGTATCATTAAGAAATAGTCTCTTTTGTATATCTGCCTTAGTAACCGAGGGATAGTGATTGCTCTTTAAATGTCACAGGTTCCATTTAAAATGTCACAGTCCTGGTTCACAGGGTCTAGTGTAAACTTAAGCTGTTGCCATTTATCATGTGCCTTTTTAAATGTTTTGGGGTTTTTTTCTGTTTTCAGTTTCACTAGTGGTCATAATATCTTCACTAAATAGTTTTTTTGCTTTTTTTTGAAGTTCTGAACTGTTTATTGAAACATATGAAAGCTTGCCAGTCACTATGTGTATCAGGGAATGATACTGCCTTTTAAGAATATTTTAATGAAAAATAATCCTACCTAATGTAGCTTTTCCAACATTGGTTTTCTTCTTGATTTCATTTGATAACAAACTTAATGTGAAGAAGTTGCTTCATAAATTGCTTCCTATGTAGTACAGGCTGGCTTCCTTTTGTATCCTCCTTTCTATGGCATCACTGCAACAGATCCCACCTTTTTCTATATTCCCAGTTTCTCCATGTCAATTAAAAAAAAATGTTGGAAACACTGAAGTCCAATCTTACAGGGAATATTATCCCTGATAGTGGATCACAGGTCTACTCTGATCCCTATTTCCCTAATCACCAGCACATTTCCACAGATTTCCTTATGCCTAAAAAGAAGCAGGAGGCACTCTAGAGGTGTTAAAATGTTTTGTCCCTTATACCCTTTTTACTTCTCAAGTTGCAGGTCCAGTTTTCCAACCCTCCACCTCTTTTTCACCTTACCTTGTGATTTTGTGTCCGCCTAAGTTTTTTAATCTTTACTGTGTGTTAGGAATATTTCTCTTTTTCTTTGCAGTTCTGTTTATGGTACCTGGGCACATGTCAGAAAAACCTCCTGGGACAGTTCATTTTGCTGTCCATGTGGACCACAGCTGCTACCTCAGATTTTAGGTTCTTTACAAGAATCATTCACATTGGAAATGTATTTAAACTGCATGTTTCTTACTTCTCATATTAATATTATGATCTTTCAGGATGCTTAGAGTAGAATGGAAAAAACTGTCACTTTTTTCAACAATGGGAGCAATCCATTCCCACAAATCATATAGTGTATATATATATATAAAAATTTCCTCCTTCTTTTAAAGTAGAAAAGAGTGGCATACAAAAACTCTTTTTCTCAAGACCTTTTAAAGCACTAGAAATAGCATTTCTCTCTGTGATTAGTTTTATGTACTCATTAATTTTGGTTCTTGACGTACACAGCACAGTAAGGAGAGTCAGATTTTAAGTCATCTGTAGGGTGTTACTTTTGTTATTTCCCAGTGAAAAAATAGATTTCCCACTTTATTGCTTCCATCCTGCATGCATTTTCTCTTACTTATTTATTGCTTTCTTTTCAAAGACCTATAATTATGGCAGTGGTACACTAAAAGAATCACTAAATTGCTGGCCAAAAGTAGGAGATAAATGGGATCTAGAAATACAATTTTTAAAATGTCAGTCTATGGGATTTGCTCCTACAAAACACAAGATTGACTATCTTCAGAACAACTGGGGGAAAGTTCAGAACAATCTCAGAGCATTAAGAACGCATATACAATTCTGAAAGCAGTAATAATATCATTTGCAGGCATACACATTTTAAGATCATGTCAGCTACTACATTAAGCATCTTAGGCATTCTGTTTCAGGTTTTTTGATTATGTATTTACAGACTTGCTCCAAGTTAACATTTCTGCTAATGCCAGCTATGAATGGACATTATAATAAGTTTACAGTAAGTGACTTCAGCAGTATTTTCTGGAGATGTTTTGACTAAAGGACCATTCTGAATTCCTCTTCATAACTTTGCTCTTCCCTGTTTCAAAAATAGCATTGGTGCTGCGGCACTTCATGAGTTGCATACTCTGACAAACTTCTAATAATCAAAATCAAAACTGACCATTTCTTACAAGAATCCTTGGTAGCCTTCAATTGATTTAAGAGTAGGTCTGCTTTCCTTGTTCTCTTTCATGGCTGTTCAAGTCACACTCTAGTTCCAAATTAACAAGATAAAAATGGACTAAAAAATAAAATATACAACTGATATTTTATCAAATAAAAATTATTTTATATTTAGTTGTCTCTTTTTAAATTATAGCCATAAAAGCACTGAAGCAATTTAAAAGCAAGACTAATTCTTCTAGCAACAGAGAAGTTGGTGACAGAGGGAAAGAGAAGAAAGATTTGGAACGTCAGAAAACAAAGAGGAATCATCAGTTTCCAAAAATGTGGCTAACAAAATACTCCTGGTTAAAATATGATGAAGAAAGAGGAATAATGTTTTGTGTACCATGTCGTAAACATAATGTGGATTTGGGGGAAAATATCCATAATTTTTGTTCTGGCACTGATGACTTCAAACTTGAATTTATAAACACACACCAGAGTAGTGAAGCTCATGCTTGGGCTACCTGCATGGAAGCTGCCAGTTCTGCTTCACCAGATACAGCTTCTGCTGAGCAGATGTTGAAGAGCATGAACTCCATAACATTGGGTAGAGTAGAAAATATTTTTAGAAGATATCACGCTATTGCTAAATCTGGCTCTTCCTATACAGACCCTGATGGAATGGGCAAACCACATAAAATTTAACATGACCTTTCTCAGGCATGCCCTTCTGAAGACTTCCCTACAGAGGCAGAACAGATCCATCTTCCCATTCCTGATTATTAATTGCATGAATTAGTCTTCCCATAACAAGTACTCTTACAGACAGGATGTGATTAGTACGCTTCACAGCTTGAACTACTTTTTATTTCCCTGTAAGAATATTTTTAAGGGTTGCCATAAGATTACTATATCTTGATTTTTTTAGTCTAGGAGCTGAGAATGAGTATGGTTTAGAGAATATTTACTTTCATAATTCTACATATTCTAAATGTGCCTTTCTACTTGATAATTTCAAAAGGTAAAGCATACCAACAGAATATATTTCTGCCATCAAAGAAATAGCAATGATTTATATCAAAAAATAGCTAAAATGAAATCATTAAAGATCCTTCTTGGTTCCTCCAACAGCAAATGAGGATTTACTACAGGTAGTTTGGGAGAAATTAATATGAGGCTGCTCACCTTTGAATCAATCATGTGCTAAATCAAGATAACTCTACTTTCAATTTAAAATGTATGTAGTAATACCAATACCCCACACCCTACTGCACTCTCCGCTCTGCTCTGTACTGTATGCTATGCTGTACTATATCACACAAATGCACACATATATGTACGTACAGTCTCTTTGGTGTTTTGCATAGATGTTCATGCTTCTTCTGGGTATAAATAATGTGTCAGAAATGGAGTAGGTTTTGAAGGAATGCCTCATTAAAGCATATTGGTCCGCTCCAGTAGAGTTAATTTGTGTCAGAAATAGAAATCAGTACTGTGCATTGTATAAAATATCTGAACTTGTGATTTCACAGTCAAAAAAATATGTTTAGATGTACTTTGCCTAATAAGCAACAGGGTATATATTTCATGGATTACCTTATTAAATATGTGGCTTGTTATATATTAGAATTGTGGATTCAAGAATTTTCTTTCAAATCACATAATACCAAGAGAGTTCTTTTCCCTCAAAGTTTTCAAATGGAGATTTCTAACTATGTTGAGATTAGAAAAAGTTTGAAAATGTGTCCTAAGGATGTCCAACAGGTGAAAACAGAAAAAAGAAAGAAAGAAAAACCAAAAAATGGTGGTTCTGTATCTGTAACACTAAACTCACCTCCACGATGCAGGGCAGGGGCATGTTTTCTCATACTCTTCATCCATGAAACTAGTGGAATTCCTTCCACCTCACATCTCAGGAGTTATATTCTAAGCCTGTGATTATTCGTGCTGCTTTCTTTTGGGCAATCTTTAGTTTACATCCATCCTTCTTGATCTAGAATTTCTGAAGTTGTATTATAGCAGAGGCCTTAACATCTGGAAAAAAAAGGATTATTTCCAATGACTTCCCATGTACTTTCTCATATTATTGTAGTCTGCTATAATCCTTAGAGACTTTTCTGTAGAAATTTTACTTTAGCAGTAAGATTCCCTTTGGGACATTCGTTCAGTTCATTATGTCAGCCCAGTGGGGCACTTGACATTTATCTTTATTAGGTAGTGTCGTTTTATTCTGGAGTTTATCTCAAATTTTTAAAGTTCACTTTGAATTCTAATCTTGTTCTCCAATGTGCTAGCAGTCTGCTGCTGAATTGTTTTATGTACATTGCAATAAATGTATCAATTTGTGCAGTCCATTTCCAGAAAGTACTTTGATCTGTTTCTGGTGAAATTACCTACTGACCCTGATCATCTCTCCAGGTTTTCAAAATCTACATGAATACTGATTCTTTTTACAAGATGCCTGCTGCTCCTTCTAATTAAAAATGTTTAATTTTCTATTCAGTCTCCTACATTATTCAACTGAAACTTATTAGGTTTGGTTTCTTTTATTTTGTACTTATAAAAGGATTTTGTAAAGAGCATACCTGTTTTGAAATGAATCTTTCTAAGTGGAAAAAGCCAGTTCTGGGAATTGTCTTCCTTTTTCCTTCCTAGGGGACATTATTTTCTTTCACTGCTTGCAGTGTACCATTTGCAGACGCCAGTATTCTTTTCTGGGTACCATCTGTGTTGCTGCCCACTCTCAGCATCTCTTCATGATTATGGAGCACTGATAGCCCTTGAGATTAAATGATGAATCACCTATTGTCTGGTATTGTAATCAGATACTCAAAACCAGTTCTGTTCTCTGTGATATATTCCCAAATCCACTAAGTCTAAACAAAGATCCTAAAAACACAGTGATGATAATATTTCATCCCTCATGTTTATGTGGGATTTCTTCTGAGACTCCCTCCTTTCTCTTACATATATCAGTAAGGAGGAATTAAGTTGGTCCATTTGGAACTACTATAACTTTGGAATTATCCCTCATCAGATGTTTCAGGAGGAGGTAGTAAAGTAAAAGAAATAGCCCTACATCACATCAGGAATTCCATAGTTAATATAAACAATTACATAGTTTATGTAAATTGTGATTTAGATTGCAATCCTTTAATCCCATCTCAGAATCTCAGACATTAGTTTTGCAAGTTCTTGAAATTCTATGTCCCTCAGATACTTTTAGCGTATGTTTCTGAAGTCATGTAGCTTCAAAAAAGTGATATTAGGATATTAGTATCCTTTTAGAATTCTGTGAAGAAAATCAAAATTAAATTTCTTTTCAGGAAGTCAGAAAATCATAAGACATACAGGAACTACATCTTTTATTGTCATGTAAAGAGATCATGGTGGGAATTGAACAGTTTAAAACATAAGATAGTGTGACAGAAAGCCAGTGATCAAATGGAAAGGGAAATGTTTAGCAAAAATTATTAGCTGGGCTCTTTATGATAAAGCACTGGTAGTGCAAAGAAGATGTAAAAATTTTCCCTGATATTTTTTGTTGTTCACTGGCTTCTTCATGCACCCTAGCCTGTTTTCCCTGTGAATCACTAAAATGTTACCTGGCTTATGGAATCTTAGAGGAAGTGTCCCAGTAATGATGGTCCAGTGATGCAGACTTAATTGTGCTATATGAAAATAATCTGATTCCTGAGGATTGAATTTTTCATGAAAAAAACAAATTTCTCTTTACCCTAAATTGATTATATTAGCAATCCAAGGTGCTTCAGGAAACAGCCCATGATATGCTGTTCTTCTAAAAACATCTTTATAGAAGATGTTCTTTCTCAATGCAGATAACTCAAAAACTTTCAAGACATCAGAACACTGTTACCGGTCTGACAGTATTTTTTCCCCAGCTTTTGCTTTCATGCTAAAATTTGGGGGAGGATATGAAGGCTTCAAGTCCAGGTGTTTCTCCCTTCCTTCTTTCTGTCCCAACAGACCCAAATCTATTTTTGTCTTCTTCTCTCCAAGTTTATATACATGTAGGATTTCTCTGCTGTATTAAGATTTCTCTGCTGTATTAGGATTTCTCTGAGGCCATTAATCCTAGTTTTCCTGATTGGAGATAAACAGGTCTACAGAGATGCAGACTATTCATTCAAATTGGCAACTTGATTTTGAATAATGACACAATGAAATTAATACTCAAGCAGGTTATTTATAGTTATCACATATCTTTTTCATAAAATTTAATTACGTGTCACTGTTTCACTTTAAACAAAGTTTCTTAGCCATAGAATGTGCACAGCTTTGCCTTTTCAAATGGACAAGAAGTTTGACTGGAAAAAGGAAAAAAATAATTAAGTCTTCCCAGCATTTCACTGATTGTGTTTGCTTATAAAGGTAATCTGAAAAGTCCTGTTTTGATGCCATGGAATTGATCACAACCTGACCAAATAGGCTTTGTGTCTCAAAATTTAAATAGCTTGAAACTTATTTTACATTTTTTGTTGTTACTGCAGAGGTTTTGCAGTGAACTCTCAGTGACCCAGCAAAGTCAGTTTCTGAAATAAGAGATTAATTTCTGGTTTTAATTTTTTTTTTTTTTACATAATTTTGTGCTTTGATTCCATGAAGCACAAAATTTGAATTTTCTGTTTGCTCATAAGCAAATCTATTCCTGCTTTAAAAAATCTACTCCTGCTGCACTTAACTGATTTTTTCTTAGGATTGCTTTAAAAATAAAATTAACAGAGCTATTTCTAACTCCCGCATGTGAATTCGGAGAAGCTTTTCAAACAGTTGAATTTTGTTTCAGAATTCAACAGACAACCGTGCATGTTTTCTACCCTATCCTCTAGTTTACGCTTGCTTTAAAGAGGGAAGATGGATTTATGATTGATTAAAATAAAGCAAAGTGGAAGAAAATGTTGGCAGGTATTCAGTACACATAACTCTGAGAGATTGGTGTCTGTGAATGCTCATTAACTGTCAGTGCAGACCATGTGAGGATAGATTAGTGATCTTAATGCAGATCAGGACAAGTACCAGAAGAATTGCAGTGCAGTGAAATATTTTAAGTTTTGCTATTAGATGGGTCACATATGATTAATTTTAAATAAGGAGATTTTATGTTTGGTTTGGAAAATATTAGCATTATCTATAGTGCATAATAGGAAAGTAAGTAACTTTCTCATATTGCCGTTAAATTTTTTAACAGAAGAGGTCTATCTAAAGTCTAAACATATTTCTATATTGATTTTTATTAGGTTTTGTACTAAAGAAAGTATTTATTGAAACTGTTAGTGGCTTGGTTAATTTGAATCTTGGAATAAATTGCTACCCTGATGCATGGAAGAACTTAACATTTGCAGATGTAAGTGAACCCCTATATTCTCTTCGACTGGGGTATTGGTTTGTGTAGAAGATGCAGCATTGTCCTTAGTATGAAGCATTGCCCTTAAAATGAAGATAATAATATTGTAGGATATTTTCCGTTTTTCTTTAAAATTCTTCAGTTTTACTAGGGAAGGATTGTGGAAGTCACAGTGCCAGACATTTTGTCAGCACTTTATTTGTTTACAATTTGCAAGTTAAATCAGTTCTTAAGACACCATCCAAGGTTTTCTGATTAGGAAACATGAAAACTTTCAAATGCTCCATACTGAATTAATTTCTCTTTCAGATTCAATCAGATGTAGGTAAACCTACAGATTGAAAATATTTACTTGGGTTAGCATATTTTAATAACTATTTCTCACAGCAAACCATGATTTGCATTAATATTTTAATTGGATTTCACATGATTTCATCACTTATTAATATATTCTCTACACAGATGAAGTGCATGAGTAAAACATTTTAATGTTAAAGTGGTATAGTTCCAGTAATTTAAGTGAAAACTAAGCACATCTGTCATCTTAAATGTATAAAACCTAATCTCAGCACAGGAAATTAATTATCCAAGGAAAGCTATCAGTCAAATATTCTCTATTAATAGACCAAATGGGCATGTATTCCATGTTCTGTATTCTTTGAGAACTTTTAGTGTTAATAAATCTTACCTTTATTTAAATAATAGAATTTTCTTTCCTTAAAAGGACCAGTTTTAAATGAAACTTTAAAATTTATCATAGAAGCATGAGCTTACTTAAAAAAGGAAATTCTCAAGCCCAAATAAATGCCTATTTGGGCGCTCAGAGTGTTTATTTAGAGCAATATCCACTGCACATGGCAGTTGGCACACAGTGGCCTGTGGCCTATTTTGTTTTGTTAAAACTCACTGCAGAACCTTGTTCATCCTGTCCAGGAAGTACCTAAGGATACATAGGATATCAAAAGACTGTTTACGTACACATTTGACAATATTTGCTGTTTTGGTTTTGTAGTTAGAAAAACTGGCATGTGAATTCACGGTGAACTCACATCTCACTGACTGGCGCAGATTCTTGCTGGCAGCAGCGCAGCCTTGGCCAGTGCCGTCTGTGACACAGCTCCTCCAAACACTGCATGGCTTCAAGTCTCTTGATGTCACTGGATCAGGCTTCGTTACACAGGAACACTATTTACAGGTTATCAGCCTTTTAATTTTTCAATCAAAATTTATTTTGTTGAACTCCCTGAACTGAATGATATGTTGTTTGTCTTAGTCCCCTTGAGAGACTCAGTCTGAATTTTAAATGCTTTTGGTCTGAGGGAGCTTTGTAGTGAAAAGTGTTTTCAGGAACTTGATGGCCTAATACGTATCTTGTCTATAGTTCCACAAATCAGGCTAATTAAACATACTTTAAACTTGATTTTCCTACTTTTACCATAAATTAATCTCAAGTGAAACTCCTTTCTGTTTTAAAGAAACCATTCTGTGTGCACTTTGATGACTATTAACTTACTTGACACTGAATAAGATCATTTGCTCCAAGCAAAAGTAAGGATTCCAGTTTCATCTCATCAGCTGCATTTTAATTAAATGTTTCTAGATTTTTTCCAATAATTAATTTTCTCAAGATCATTCTTCAAGCCTTGAATACATGGAAAATCATAAAATTCTTTGATCATTTTTCTGAAGACAACTTCTGTTTGAATTATGACATAGTTCAGCAAGGTTTTTCAGAAAGAGTATTATGAATACATTTTTGTTTCTTCAGCAAAATTCTGCTAATTTTCACTTACTTTTACTTTTCATTTTACTGCTGGTTCACTCTCTTGGCTATACTAGCTGTAAGTATCATATATATACACATATAGATGTGTGTAGATATTCCAGTTTTGCCAGTTTCTGGTTTTGTTTGATATTAAATATAATTTTCCAACACTTCTGAACAAATTTCATAGAAACTTTATTGTAATTTGTTCTCCACTCACCTAGCATTAGTTTTTAAAAAAGACTAAATAAAGGCTGCGTTAGTCCAGAGGCCTGTAGTTTTCAGACTTTCTTTAATTAATTTAAAACTTCCAGGAGCACCTGTCAATCCCTTCCCACCACAGACTTTCTAAGAAACAAACTCTGCAAGGCCAGGAAACCCACAAAAAATACAGGTCTATGTGCATTTATTTTTTCTATTGTTGTAAGTTTTGCTGAAGAGTTTACAAATAAGCTAGCAGTTACAAGACATGCAGACTGAGAATGTACATTTTTATCATAGGATCCTATTTCAAGTATTATATTAACCAAGCACTTAATTTAATCACTTCAGTATTACAAGGTAGTAAATATGCAGTGAACAGCTGGTTTGAATAACCTTCCACTGGGAATTTGAGCTGCTTCACCTGTCCTCTCTATTTGCACCTACACTGTGAAACTATACAGTGCTGGGGCCCATCTCCAGGTAATGGTGGTGGGTTGTCCCTGCTGTGATGTTGTTTGTACAGCCTGGTGTGGTTTCACACAGGTGAATTTTTCTGTTGGAAGTTGGTTCATACCTATCCAGATCTAGCTGATCCTTCCTATGTCTAGAGTCTAGTACTACAGAATTGGTTCTGGGCACTTTTAATTTACAGTTGTAGCTCTGTCTCTCTAGGACTCTTGGTCATCTTGTTGGGAGCAGGCAAGCATGGGGAGAGCCGTGGCTCCATCCTTCATCATACTGAATTGTATGGACAGTTTCTTCTAAAAGTAAAGTCTGGACAAAAGCTGTAGGGATTAGTGAAGGATATCCTCAAAGGAAGAAATCAGAGCATGCATAGAAACTCCATATCATATTATGCTTCTTCAGCAGCATAGATTTACAACTACTTAGTTAATTTTCAATTTTTTCAAAAGCATACATTCACTTCTATCCTATTTGATTTTCAGTAACTTCTCAAATATCTGTTACAACTTACAAACAACAAATTATAATTATTGTCGTCATTGTATATGAATAACAAATTCAGTTTGATTAAGTCCAGAAGTTAGGCTCTTAGTAACCTGTGTGTTGAACAGCTAGAGTATAAAGACTACCTTATTTCGGTGTGTGAAAATAAACAAACGTATTTATTTATTTATTAAATCAGGTGGGCTTATGGTTTAATGGAAACGAAGATCTAAGCATAACAGAAAGTTGTGAAGAACCTGAGTCTTCAGAAAGGCTAAAACACCTCACAGAGGTAACTGAAAACATAGATATTTCGAAAAAAATCACTATTCAAACATGATAGGTCTCATTTTAGAATTTTTTGGGTCTCTTTTATTCAATAAGTGCTGCATTTTTTTTGATTTTTTTTTTCAGGTCAAGTGGTGCTTCAGAATAATGTAGAGAGGAATCCAAGAGTCAGCCCTGAGCATTCTAAATCATATTCTGCTCAGAAAGACTTAATTACTCCTATTCTTTTTTGAATGACATTAATTTTGCTACACAGCAACCAGCTTTGTAAAGAATGGGAGGCAAATGATCATTGCATCTGAGCACGTAGATTTTTCCATGAAAGAGGGGGCTAATAATAATCTGAATATAAATAATGCTTTGAACATATTTGTCATGATACATGGTTTTATTAATTTCTATCTTTTCTGCGAAACTCAATTTCTATTTCCTTGAATTACTTAACACACATTTATGATTTATCACAGCCTTGATTTGCACAGTCTCAACATGCTCTTAAGTATAGTAGCTCTTATTAGCTGTACTGTATTATTACTGTATTTCATGCTTTTCTCTACAGTCCTTGATTTGTATTTCATTTAAATCCACTTACAGAACTTAATTTGCTTATTTTTGCCCTTTTATAGTTTTTCTTCCATTTATTTGCGGATACCAAAAAAGACCCTGCTCTGCTGAACTATATTGAGATGCTGCTTTATTTCGCCTCCCACTCTGATCCAGTTGAAGGTGTATACAGAGCACTTAGCATTGTTACTGGAGCATATATTCACAGAAAAAGGAAAGCTTCCCTTCCATGTGTGGTAAAATATCACAGAAAAATACTAGAGAATAGTAGTAGTACTTTCAATTTATAAATTGCCCAGCTGTCTCTATATTTGCTTATCCTGGGTAACTCCAGTCCTTATAAGTAGTCTCACTGAATAGGAACATTGCATTGGTTATAATACTCAGAAGGATTCTTTCAAAGGTCTGGAAATTTGCTTGCCTTTAATGAAAGTTTAAGATACTTACTGGTGATTACTCCTTGTGCATATGAATGGAAGTAATTATTTTGCTTAATTGACCAGCCATCAGTCCCTTGGAATTAAACAGCAGTATGACTTACAGTAATGTTATGTCATGATGTAAGACCTGGTCTTACTTTATTTTCCACTTACTTTATTATTGCTGGTCTTACTTTATTTTCCACTCCGTTTCTTTGGGGTATTCAGACACATTTTTGTTGTGTTATTTCCAAGTGTTTAGGTTTATCTGTAAACCAGAAGGTTTAATAATAATTTGTTTCATACAAAATAATTTTAAAATTACTTTTTCAGACATGATGAATGCATTGTTAATTCAAACAAAACTCATCATTTGAACATTATTAGTATTTCTGTAGTATGTTTTTATTATTAAAGTCTTAAAACTGGAATAGTCCACTGCATGCATCAGTTACTGATTAGTGAATACTTATATTTATTGAAGTATAAGTCATTTTTTGAGACATAAATTATTTATCTGTACACATCTTGGAAAGAGGTTGCTGCTTAAGATAATAAAATTATTCACTGCCCTGTTGCAACCACAGTGACTCCAGCAATTGCCCAGAACTTAAAGTAAAATTGAGATCTCTAGAAAGAGCATAGAAAAGGCATCACTTTACTACACAGGGTAATAGTATACATTTGCAAAATAGCATTTTGTGATTTAAATGACAGAAGTTACTATACTTCCCTGTGTTTTTTTGGCACAACAGAGTTTTTGTACACTGGAGTGACTGAATGAGACAAT